CTCCAGAGTCCCCCAGTCCCCTCAGCTGCCCAGGGTAGCCTGAGGCACAGGCAAGCTTCAGATGGGGGCTTCCCAGCCACTAAGGGCCACCTGAGGCTCCGGTAACCAGGGCCTGCCAAGCAGTGACAGCAGCAGAGGTGAGATGGGGGCGTGTTCTCCTGATCGCTGGGTTGTCTCCTGCCCCTGAGGGCTCCCAGACTGTGTGAGGAGGCAGGCCGGGCTGAGGGACTCTCCCCTCCTCCAGTGCATGAATTTTTCATGCACCATGCCTCTAGTTGAATATAATGTTGTAAGTTTGTCATATATGGCATTAATTATGTTAAGGTATGATCCCTCTGTTCTCACTTTTCTGAAAGTCTTCATAATAAATGTATGCTCGATTTTGTTGAATATTTTTCTGTGTCTGTTGATATCATGTGTTTTTATCCTTCATTTTGTTTATGTGATCAATGTTTATTGATTTGTATATATTGTAATAGTCTTGCTTCCCTGGAATAAATCCCACTTGGTCATGGTATCTGATCTTTTTAATGTATTGCTGGATATGATTTATAATAACTTGTTGAGGATTTTAGCATCTATGTTTGACAGGGTTTTTGGGTTGTAATTTTCTTATTTGTGGTATCTTTATCTGGTTTTGGAATTTGGATAATGCTGACCTCATAAAGAGAGCTTGGATGTCATCACTTCTCTTGAATTTTTGGAATGGTTTGAGGAGAATAGGTGTTATCTCTTATTTGAATGTTTGGTAAATCTCATCTGTGAAGCCATACAGTCTTAGGACTTTTGTTTGCTGGGAGTTTTTTATTTTTATTTTTTTTATTATTGCTTCAGGTTCATTTGTTCTTATAATAGGTCTATTTAGGTTTTCTGAGTCTTCTTGATTGAGTTTTGGAAGATTTTATATTTTTAGGAATCTGTCCATTTTATCCAGGTTGTCCAAATTATTCGCATATAGTTGTTTATAGTGTTTTCTTACAGTCCTTTGTATTTTTGTGATGTCAGTTGTTACTTCAACTCTTTCATTTCTGATTTTATTTGAATTCTCTCTCTCTGTTTTTTGATGGCTAGCAGTTCATTAATCTTGTGTATCTTCTCAAATAACTAGCTCTTTGTTTTATTGATATTTTGCTGTATGTTTTTTAGCCTTTGTGTCATTTTTTTTTCTGCTCTGACATTTAATATTTTCTTCTACTTATTCTTGTTTTTTTGTTCTCTTTCTAATCCTTATAGCTGTTTTTGTTTGTATGTTTGTTTGTTTTTGGTCTGGGAGATCTATCCAGTAGCTGTCGGTGGGATGTTGATAAGTATGTTTTTTATAAGAGGATCTTTCCCGACCCTCGGGGCAACAACGGGGGTACGCAGGAACCACCTAAGAGAATGAAACAAACAAGGAACATGAAGAACAGAGGCAAGACAAAGTTCTTATCAAGCCTCTTGTCGGTGGGATGTTAAAGTCCCCTACTATACTTGTATTGCTGTCAATCTCTCCCTTACAGTTTAAGAGGTTTGTTTCTTAAAATTATTTGTTAGTAAGTATATTTAGGTGCACCTATATTGGGTGCATATATGTTTATAAATGTTATATTTTCTTGTTGGGTCGATCCCTTTAAATATTATGTAATGATCTTCTTTGTCTCTTTTATGGCTTTTAATTTGAAGTTTATTTTGTCAGTTATGATTATTGTTACTCCAGCTTTTTTCATTTCCATTTGCATGGAATATATTTTTCCATCCATTTATTTTTAGTCTGTATGAGTCTTTTTTTTTTTTAATATTGATTTTTTACAGAGAGGGAAGGAGAGAGAGATATAGAAACATCGATGAGAGAGACACATCAATCAGCTGCCTCCTGCACACCCCCCACTGGGGATGTGCCTGCAACCAAGGCACACACCCCCGACCAACCTGGGACTCCTCAGTCCATAGGCTGATGCTCTATCCACTGAGCCAAACCGGTTTCAGCTGTGTGAATCTTTTGCTCTGAGGTGGGATCTCAAATACACACACACACACACAAGTTATGTTTTCTTATCCTTCCAGCTGCCCTGTATCTTTTGATTGAGACATTTAACCCGTTTACATTTAAGGTTATTATAGGTCAGTACTTATTTATTGTCACATTTCCTTTATACCTATGTTCCTTGCTCTCTCGATTTCTTCTGAAAGCAGTCCCTTTGATATTTCTTGCAGTGCTGGTTTGGTGGTAATGTACTTGTTTAACCTCTTTCTTTCTGGGACGCTTCCTATTTTGCCTTCAATTTTAAATGATAGCCTTTCTAGATAGAGCAGTCTTGGATTCAAGTTCTTGCTTTGCATTACTTTGAGTACTTCTGATGAGAAATCTGCTGACAGTCTATTGGGAACTCCCTTGTAGGTAACTTTCTGTCTCTTGCTGCTATAAGATTTTTTTCTTTGTCTTTAATGTTTGTAATTTTATAATTAGAATGTGTCTTGGTGTGGATCTCTTTATGTTCATCTTGACTAGAACTCTCTATGCTTCCTGAACTTGTGTGATTTTTCTTCTTCTGGATAGGGAAGTTTTGTTATTTCTTTAAACGGGTTCTCTATTTTTTGCTCCCTTTCTTTTCCTTCTGGTACATCTATAATGTGGATGTTGTTACATTTCCTGTTATACCAAAGTTCCCTTAAACTATCCTCCTGTATTTTAATTACTTTTCTTGTTGCTGCTCTAATTGGGTATTTTTCTCCTACCTTGTCTTCTAAGTCACTGATTCAATCCTCCGCTTTATTCAGTCTACTTTGAATTTCTTCCAGTGTATGTCTGATAGGGTATCTTAATTTCTGACTGGTTCTTGTTTATGGTTTCTATTTCCTTTTTCATGTTGTTGTAGTTCTCACTGAGTTTCTTTAATATCCTTATTACCATTAATTTGAACTCTATATCTGATAAATTCCTTGCCTCCATATCATTTAGCTCTTTTTTTTGAGAATCTTCCTTTTCTTTCATTTGGAGGTGTTTCTTTGTCTCTCCATTTTAGCTCTCTCTTTGTGTTTGTTTCTATGTATTTGGTAAAGCTGTTATGACTCTCAGTCTTTGTGGGGTAGCCTTTTGTAGTAAGCATTCTGTGGCACCCAGTGGTGCAGGTGACACAGAAAGGGACACTAAGGCTTATCTTAAAGAGTGTGGATTCTCCAGGTGAAAAAGGAGTTCCAAGGCCTTGTGCTCTTATCACACTTGGCATTTTATATTTTTATTTCTTTCTTAAGGGTATGGGATTTCTTTTCTCAGTCCTCTTTGTATCTGTACATTATTCCTGCTGGAAACTCAATATAGATAAGCTTATTGCTATAGGTCCCGTAGCCTAGGAAGATCCCAGAAATGATTTGTTTTACAAAAGCAATATGAAAATATAATACTACTAGAGGCCTGATGCATGAAATTCCTGCAAGGGGCTCAGCCCTCGCAGCCTCAGCCCTTGCAGCCCACTGCCTCGAGGCCCTACAGCCCTGCCCACTGGTATTTCTGGAAGGTCTTTCTGCTGTCTGGCCTAATTAGCAATTAGCTCTTTATTATATAGGATATTTGTCTATAGCAGTTAGCATGGCCTAACTGAAAGTTTTTGGATTGGCCAAGAAACCAGACTTTAGGAAAATCACTCTTAATGCTAAGTAATTAGTGTCAGGTCATTCAGCAATTAAATTTGTATTAGAACATAACAGGCACTATTAAGTTTGGTGAATAAAATATAAATAGTCCTAGCCTACTTTCTAATAGTAAAAATATAGAAGAAGCCACTTAACTGTATAATACGAATTTCTGTTGAAGGAAACCAGACTCAGTGAGAAAAAAGAATCAGGTTTTGATGGCAGTCACTTAAAGAAACGCACAGGTAGACTTTTCTGAGGGGGTGACATTTTAGTGGAAAACTTAAGATGTGATTTAAATTCATGTGGAAAGACTGAAGAGACAGAATTCTAAGCAGAAGGACCCTGTCTAAATAGTTGTGGGGCAGGACAGTTTGGAATAATTGTAAGGAGGCCAATGTGGTGAGAATCATGCATCATGGAATGACAAGGGTCACATCAGGCAAAGGCTTTTTTATATTGAGCACACAATGAATCCATAGCAGGGTGTTCAGTGGAGGTTTGGCTGTTGATTTTTGTGAGGGCCAAGAATGGACACTGGGAGACCTGTAAAAGCAAGTGAGCATGGTTAGTGGAGGGTACTGGTAGTGAAAATCAAGAGAAGAGGGTGGATTTGAATTACATTTTAGAAGTAGAATTAAGAGTATTTCCTGACAGATTTGATGGGGGGTAAACTAAAGAGCCAGAGAAGGGCTTTTAAGTTTTTGGCTTGGGTGTTGATTTCCTGACATGGCAAAGCCTAGTAAGAAACAAGTTTTAGTGTTAAACTTTAATTTGGATTTATATGAAGTTTGAGTGCTTATTATAATATCCAATAATGAAATGTTATTAAACATTTTCCCCTAAAGGTTTGTGCTGTGTAGCTCCAAGCTCACCTTCAGATCTTTTCTCAAGTGGTACCTCTTCCTTTTTTGACCATCTTGATTAAAGTAAAAACTCTCATATTTCCTGTGTCCTTTTCCTGCTTAATTTGTCTCCATAGTAGTTACCACCAACTGACCTGTTATATTTTTTGCTTGTTTAATGACTATATAAGATCTGTGAAGTCAGGGATTTTTGTGTAAAGATCATTATTATATTCCCAAACCTAAAACAGAGTGTGGTCTATAGTAAATGCTCAGTATATGTTTATTAACTAAGTATGTGAAACCACTTGAAGGATTCTGTGGTGTTTTCCAGGAGTAACTTTTTTTTTTTTTAGTATTATCAAACTTTTGGCTTAAAACAATTCAGTTATTTTTATAACAAATGCAGATTTTTATAGGATGAATTATATATGTGTACTTATGCATGCACATACACACATGAGGTTTGGAATTGTGTCTGTGTTTTTTAAGGATTAAAAACTTAAAACTATAACTCATATTTTAATTCTCTTTAATTTTCTTTAGGTTACATCTGATGGAAAACCAAAACTTGTTGATATCATTGACACAACAGGAAGTGGTGATGTGAATACTGCTACAGTAGTAGAGCCAAAAGATGGTGAAATTATTGGCCTTTCAGGAAGAGTGCTTCAGGTTGGAGCTTTTGTCTTTTTATGATTTTTTTTCTTTTCACTTTTTGTATTGTCATCTCAAATTAATATTTTTAGCTTACCGGTATATTTGATGGTAAGGTGAGTATTAGATAGCTAATATTGTATAACATTTTACTCTAAAACTTCATAATTTATAACAATAAACATTTGTTATCTCAGTTTCTGTGAGTCAGGAATCTGGGTGTGACTTTGCTGGTGCCCTCGCATTCAAGATCTCTTCTGAGCATGCTGTTGGCCAGGGCTGCAGTTTCATCTGAAGGCTCCACTTTGTTGGGGAAGGGTATTCCGTTTCCAAGCTTGCTCAAGTGGTTATTGGCAGATTTATTCTTTGCTCCTAGGATCTCTCCACGAGTCTCCTTCACAACATGCAGCTGTCTTCCTCCTGGGAAGGACTCCGAGAGAGAATCCCCAAGATGGAGGCCATGGTCTTTTTATAAATTAATCTTGGAAGTGATATCCTATTATTTCTATCACGTTCTTAATTTTGGAAGTGACACTTAACTATGTTCTTTTCATTAGAAGTGAGTCATTAATTCCAGCACACACTTAAGGGGAGGGGATTTTACAATGGCATGAATACCAGGAGGGTGAGGGTTGATAGGGATCATCTTTGAGGAAGTCATTGTTTTGTTGTTTGATGATCATGTTTGAGGAAGTCATTGTTTGTTGTCTTAGAGAGAGAGGGAGAGAGAGAATGTGTGTACATGTGCGTGCGTGCGTGCGTGTAGGGGGTTTGTGTTTGTGTGTGTTTCCCAATGTGATTGCCAAATTCTTAAACTTTCAAGTTTTGAATAGAAAAATGGAAAAAGTGACCAGATGACAGTTTTGCCTTCATCTTTTCCTAGCCCTTCTGGGAACTTGAACATGAAATATTAAAGCTTTAATAATTACAGACTTAAGTGATTAGCTTTGTCTTATCCTATATAATAAAGCCCTAATATGCAAATCAATGGAATGATGGAACTACTGGTCATTATGACATGCACTGAACCACCAGGAGGCAGATGCTCAATGCAGGAGCCACCCCCTGGTGATCAGTGCATTCCCACAGGGGGAGTGCCACTCAGCAGAAACCAAGCTCAGGGCTGGCGAGTGCAGCAGTGGTGGTGGGAGCCTCTCCCGCCTCCTCTGCAGGCAGGCATTAAGGAGCAAGGGGTCCCAAACTGCGAGAGCCTTGGGCTGCAAGAGGGATGTTTGACTGCTCTCCCAGGGATCAGGCCTGAGCCAGAAGTCAGACATCCCCCGAGGGGTCCAAGAATGATGTTATTAAATATCCAAATGGCCCTTGGCAGAAAAAAGGTTCCCCACCCATGCCTTAAATCCTTTTATAGTTCAGGGCTTTTTGTAATCTCTTAGTAAAAGAAGTTGCCACTAACCTATGGTTAGGAAGCCCACTGTAGTAGCATACCTGTGATTAAATAGTCTTTGAATTTGCCAACTAGTGGCTACTTAATGTTTTGTTGTTGCAACACTTTATTATTGTTACATCATCAGCTATTGCAAGAACATTAGAGCTTAGAATTCCTATTGTCTAAAGAAGGTCCAGTTCTGAATGAAAAGTGCTAGTTTATATGCCAACATAGTTAAAATGACTCATACTCCAGACAGTACAATTCATTCAGAAATGATTACTTATATGCAGGCTTTTAAAAAGTCAGTATATCTTAGAATTTTTGTGAGTGATTCTTTTTCCTTAATTAGTTGTGAGAAAATTTCATCCAAAAATTCTTTACCTGGGGAACAATTTGATGAAAGACATGACGATGAGTTGGTTAAGGATATTGTGTAAATGAGAATTGATGAGTGAACCAACTCTGAGTGGTTGAGAGTTTGACCTTATAATTTATACACATTTAAAAGTTGTTCTTAATGATTATAGATTCTATGCTTACAAAGAGCCTGAATCCTCCGCATTTTCCTTATTGACATTTCAACTTGGTTGATGTTCAGTGCATTTTGTTATTTATAAGAATCATAAGGTAGGGATTATGTTCTTCCTTTTAAACATGAGGATTTAGAAGCCTGTGGGTCTCAACCTAGTTAAGAGTTTGGATTCATAGCCAGGTTTATATGACTGTAAATTGCATACTCTGAATTTTACGCTGAATTTTTTTGGTTTCCATAATAGAACCATATTCCAGTTTTCTTTCCTACTTTTCTGTTCGGGTAAGCTATTTCTTTTTGCTTCTTTGCCTTCTCCATTTGTAAAACTGGCCATACTGCTTACATCATTTTATTAGTTAAAAGCTTTATTGTTATTTTTAAATACTTTGAGATAGTTGAAAAGACTATTATAAAATCTACTAGAGGCCTAGTGCACAAAATTTGTGCATGGGTTGGGGGGTGTCCCTCTCCAATCTGGGACTTCTCGGGATGTCCATCTGTCTGGTAGGTTCGGGCCTAAACGGGCAGTCAGATTTCCCTCTCACAATCCAGGACTGCTTCCCTTATCCACTCCCCTGACAGCCTGATTGACCCTAACTGCCCTTCCCTACAGGCCTGGTCAAGTCAGGGAGCCCCACGGTCCTGGAGCCTCTACAGAGGCTGCAGGGGGTGTGACTGAGGTACCTCAACCTCTCTCCCTCCCTCCCCCAGTCGGCCTTGCCCTAGATTGTTATCCCCCACCCCCATGTGCTTGCGCGCGCACACACATATACACACAAATGGGTGGGGGGTGGGGCCAGCACTAAGAAGCCAGGGCCGAAGGTCAGCAGCCCTGGCGGTGTCTGGCTTTGGCAGCAGCAGAGGGGTGATGAACACCGCACCTTCCCGTTCCTCCTGTTCACTTCCCACAGAGGGAGGCCAGATTGTGGCTTAGGCCCATTCCCCACAGGCTCAGTAGACCATCCCCTGAGGGCTCCCAGACTGTGAGGGGGGCAGGCCAGGCTGAGGAAACTGCTACCCAGTGCACAAATTTTCACGCACCAGGCCTCCAGTGTTATATATAATTAAAATGATCTTATAGAACTTTTTTCTTACTAATGCAAAGAGCTCTTAGTTTCTAGACATTTTATCTGTTATAACTTAGATTCCAATGAAGGTCTTGTTATTAACAAGAAACCTAAGGTTAAGGGGTTCTGTAAATTGCTTCCCCTCCCAACTATTTGATGGGCAATAGAGTGATGAAGGGAGAGGTGAGGTGTCATTGATGCTTAAGAACTAAAGATCTTAGTGGTTTAATAAGGTTGCATATGTTGAAAGCACTTTATAAACTATGAAGCATTGTATAATGAAGGGTGTTCTGCTGAAATCAGCTTATTTATTATGGTTGAGATAAAAGGAGCCAGTGAGATATTAAGTGGCACTTTAGAATTTTAAAAATAGTGCTCTGTATATAAGCCTAATCATCCAAGCTGAGACATTAGGATATAAGTGAAATACATTTTTCTCCAGTAAGTTAGTCATTGGAATTGGGAAGCATTTGGTGCATCAATAATTTTTTTTTTTTCTATAGATTCCTGCAAGCTGGACGAATCCGTCAGGCAGATATCATATTGGCATAAAAAATGGCTACGACTTCTATCCAAAGGCTCTCAAGGAAAGAATACAGGTGATGTTCAATCTAGTATTACTGATTTATCTTCTTTCTCAAATTTCATTCCACTGAAGAAAAAAATTATAAATTCTCACTAACGTTTAATTACTTTGGATGATGGGAGACTTTTAAATAATGACTTCTTAAAGAAAGATTCTGTTAAATGGAATTTTATGTAATAAAGTCATTGTTCTTAATATTGAATACATACATAAGCTTAGGGAAACTGGATACACTGAAATTATATTAAATGTTTGGGCATATGTGTTTTTCTGGGAAATGCCATATAGCTTTCATTTTATTTTTGAAAGAGTTTTTTTGTTAAACCTCAAAACGATTAAAGAAGGTTGATTTAAAATCTAGACTTTTTAGCTTTTATGACCATTTGTCCCATTTTTCCATAGAATAGCTTTGATTCCAGTTAGTTATTCAGTATTAAGGAAAGGATTACTCAAACCTAAAGCAGCTGCAGTATAGGAAGCACAAATCTGTCATTAAAGAAGAAATATGATTCAAACTGACTTCAAGCTGTGAGTTGGGGATAAGGAGCCTCCTTTCAAGCAGCACTATTCAGTAGACCTTTCAGTGACAATAGAAATTATCAAAATGTTCAATATCTGTCCATATGGTAGTCACTAGCCACAAGTAGCTATTGCAAACTTGAAATGTGACTAGTATGACTAAAGAAATAAAATTTTAATTCATGTAATATTTTAGAATTTCCTTTTAAAAAGCGCCATGTGGCTAGTGGCTCCTGTATTTGACAGTACCATTGAAGAAGATGGCTATGATACTAGTTGCTGATATAGACAGGGTTCAGGGCTTCAACTGTAAAATGAGATGGAAACCTTGAAAATGAGCCTGAAGGGCAAGACCTATGGCTCCTTTTATCTAATCATAATCATCTGCTTCACCAAGGGTCTATGGAACCATACGAAGATGTATAATAATCAATAATTGTTAGATTTCAATCATTATTATAAAAAATAATGCACCTAACTTTTATTTGGTACCATTTAATTTTAAAATTTCAGGCTGAAGTACACATATACAGCACAATGGGTTTTTTTTTGCACTATATTAAATTTCATCAATTGTGTTGATGCAGTACAAATTAACATACAAAAATAGAGTGATAAAGTTAAAGCTGAACCTCTCCTTAGCTCAGTCATTTTACTGGAAAGGACATTTCCCTTGGGAGGCACCATGAGTTAAAGACAATGGAGATTAGGGTGAGACCAATTTCAGTAAAAAATAAACCTATCGAGTCAAAGAGGATCAGAAATTAATATGCTAGCATGGGGGGAAATTGACGAAGCCTAATTTTTCTGTATTTACAGAAAGAACGGAAGGAAAAAATCTGGGACCCTGTTCACAGAATGGCCCTGGCAGAAGCTTGTAGAAAACAAGAAGAGTTTGATGTTGCCAACAATTCCTCTTCTCAAGTTGGTGCTCGTCCTTTTTGTTTAAACATTACCTTAGGACCCTGTACCATGGAGTTTTTAGAGAATTATTAATAGACTGTTTTCCCCCCACAAGTTTTAAGTTGTTTAGTTTTACTCATTTTTTCTTTAGTATTTATCTGAAATCAGTTCACATATGTACTAATTTTTAAAAACTTATTGAGCATATAAGAACATGTAAAGCACTTAAATCTAAGTGTGTAGTCATGAGTTATCACAAAATGAACATTTGCATATTAGCCACAGCATCTCATTTCTCTTCCTAGTTATTGCTTTCTTGTACCTTCTTAAAGGCAACCATCATCCTAACTTCTAAAACTATTGAATGATTTTGCCTATTTTGAATTTTATAAACTAAAATCATGCAGTGTGCATTCTTTCATGTGTAGCTGATCTCATGTAGTATCGAATATATTTGTGAGATTCATCCATATTTGGGGTATTGAAATAATTTGTTCACTTCCCTTGCTATTTGATCGATAGAACACAATTTATATATCCATTCTGCATATTGATATTTTATTTGTTTTCAGTTTTTGGCTATTAAGAAAAATTATCTTTTGAATATTATGTCTCTTTTTCTGTGTGTGTGTGTGTGTGTGTGTGTGTGTGTGTGTCTGTTGTTTTAGATTCTACATGTAACTGAAACTTTAAATATTTGTCTCTTTCTGTCTTAGTTCATGAGCATAATACCCTCTAGGTCCATCCATGTTGTCACAAATGGCAGGGTTTCATTCTTTTTTATTGCTGGTAATAGTTCATTGTATTTATCTGTCACATCTTTTTTTTATCCAGTTACCTATTGATGGATATACCTAATTTGCTTTCATATTTTGGCTGTTGTAAATAACGCTGCAATAAACATAGGGGTGTAGATATCATTTTGAATTAGTGTTTTCATTTATTCTGTATAAATGCTAGGAAGTGAAATTTCTGGGTCATATTGTAAATTTATTTCTCCAATATTTTTTGAGGAATCTCCATATTTTTTATTATTTTTATAGGTTTCCGGAAGGGAGAGGGAGAGAGCTAGAAACATCAGTGATGTTAGAGAATTGTCAATCTGTTGCCTCCTGCATGCCCCCCACTGCGGTTTGAGCCTGAAACCTGGACATGGGCCCTGACTAGGAATTGAACTGTGACCTTCTGATTTATAGGTCGACGCTCAACCGCTGAGCTCTTATTGTGGTTTTCAGTTGCATTTTCTTTTCTTTCTTTCTTTCTTTTTTTTTTTTTTTTTTTTTTTTTTTGGTTTAATGTATTTTATAGATTTTTTACAGAGAGGAAGAGAGAGGGATAGAGAGCTGGAAACATCGATGAGAGAGAAACATTGATCAGCTGCCTCTTGCACACCCCCTACTGGGAATGTGCCCGCAACCAAGGTACATGCCCTTGACCGGAATCGAACCCGGGACCTTTCAGTTTGCAGGCTGACGCTCTATCCACTGAGCCAAACTGGTTTCAGTGTGAGTTGCACTTTCTTGATGATTAGTGTTGTTGAGCATATTTTTGAGGCTGAATAGAAAGAAGCTGGGAAAATTCATTGGAAAGTGAAATGGGAAAACAGACAGGTAGTTGATTCAAACTGACTCATCCAGCACCCTGACTCACCTCCCTCCTTCTCCCTTGCATGACCACTCCCTAAGCATTAGCCCTCAGGAAAGTGAGGTTCTGGTGAGCATCAGATATCTTAGGAACAAAGCCTCACATCTGTTGACCACAGAGACAGAGTTTTGGTCAAACTAGAGATAACAGCCCTGTTGGTGTTGCTAAGTGATTAGAGCATCAGTTCAGGCACTGAAGGGTCTTGGGTTTGATTCCCAGTCAGTGGCAGGTACCTGGTTTGCAAGTTCGATCTCTCACCATCATTGGGGCATCTATGAAGGCAACCAATAGAAATGTCTCTCACATTGATGTCTCTCTCTTTCTCTCTCTCTCTCTCTCTCCTCCATCCCTTCCATTCACTCTCTAAAAAAAATTTTTTTTTAATTTAATAAATAAATGGAAAAAATATCCTGTGTGAGGATTAGCAGCACCAATAAAAAACCTAGATGTAACATTGAGGTCTTATTGTTTCAGCACCAGACCCAGAGAAGCAGCAAAACCAAATGAAGCAATGACATGACTAGCATCACAATCAGATAAAATTACCAATGACCCCACTACCTTAATCTCAAATTTAGGCAGAGACCACAATCCTGAACCTATCCTATTTTGAACATTTATTTTGTGGGAGAGGAAGTCATTAGTGGTTGTACCAATTTATGTTACTACAAGTAGTATATGAGAGTTCCTATTATTCTACATCCTTAAATAGCCAGTAGTTTTTATGAAGTTAATTTATAAAATAAAAATAATATATTTATTATGTAGAAAATATTTGCTAGTTGCAGAGACTTTTGGACAACACAAGTATGTAAAATAGCAAGTGTGGGAGCCTCTAAAATTCCACCCTCCGGGGATGGTAACAACAACTCTATCCTAAAGTTTTCTTTTAATGCATGTGTGTACCTTTTCCTTCCTTCCTTCCTTCCTTCCTTCCTTCCTTCCTTCCTTCCTTCCTTCCTTCCTTCCTTCCTTCCTTCCTTCCTTCCTTCCTTCCTTCCTTCCTTCCTTCCTTCCTTCCTTCCTTCCTTCCTTCCTTCCTTTGTGTGTGTGTGTGTGTGTGTGTGTTTACCTTTTTTTTTTTTTTAATAAAAATGGAATCAAATGAGTGGTTCTTAACCCTGGCTGCATATTCGAATCATATGAAGAGCTTTAATACTGCCAGTGCTTGTGCCTGGAGAAGATTTACATCAACACTTTGCAGGGAGGCAGACATTTTTAAAATCTCCCCTAATTGAAACTCTAATGAGTTTAAATTAGAATGCAGGCTGGGGTTGAGAACCACTGGTCTGTGTAGCCCTCTGTACACATTTATTTATATTTACTTAATCTGTGTACAGCATCCTTTTCATAACAACTGTATAATTTTCTGTTAGATCACTATTTGTCCTAATTCAGCCTCTTATTACGCAGATTAAATGTACAATTTCAAGTGCTAACTTAAGATTTTTGAAATTAATGAAAATTAAATTTTTATTCACTAGAACCATTCAGGTGAATGTAGAGCAGTCCAATGTAGTATGTAGTTAAAAAATACTTAGGTTGAAGCATATAGAATTCTCATTTTTGTATATCAAAATGGTTAAATAGCTTATATGTACATGTTAATGCATATAGTATATACTTAATGTAGTATATTCTAAAAGAAAGAAGACAGTTCATGGTTTCTATTATTAGTTTCTTAAGAAACAGATTTTAAATGGAAACAGTCCCAATATAAAAATCTAAAAGTTGATAGATAACCTATTTATAGCAGTTTTATAATTTTAAATGAGTAATGTAGATAAAGGATATATTACCAAAACATGTTTTGGCCAAATGACATCACCAACATAAAACGTAGTGTCTTTCTTCAAGAGGGTGGAGTGAGTGATAGAATGAAAGATTGAGTAAAAGAAGTATTATTTTTAAATGTTTAATATATTAATTGATGCCTGCATCATTAAATTGAACTACAAGTTGCATATATAAAACAAAATTTCTTAAAATTTTCCACGGTAAAATAACTACTGTTAGGTCACAGTGTCTTTGGTTATATTAACATAACTTTTTAGTATTAATATTAATACTAATATTAATGTATTTTCCTATTGATTAGGTAAATAAACTAATCAAAGAGGAGCTTCAAAGTCAAGTGGAATTGCTAAATTCTTTTGAGAAAAAATATAGTGATCCTGGCCCTGTATATGACTGCTTGGTATGGCACGATGGTGAAGTCTGGAGGTAAATTTAATGTATTTTACTAGAGGCCCAGTGCACGGATTCATGCACTGACGGGGTCCCTAGGCGTGGACTGTGGGGATTGGGCCAAAACTAGCAATGCAACACTGCCTGCTGCTCCTGCCTGTCACTCCAGCTCATCCCAGCCCCGCTGCACCTGCCTCAGACTCGTGATGGGCGAGGCTTGTGCTGCTGCAGCTTCACTTGTAGCTATGAGCCCTGCATCTAGTGCCTGTTGGTCAGCTGAATGGTGCTCCCACTGTGGGAGCACACTGACCACCAGGGGCAGCTCCTGTGTTGAACGCCTGCCCCCTGGTGGTCAATGCGCATCACAGTGACTGGTCATTTGGGTCGCTCAGGCTTTTATATATTGGTGTATAAATAGCTCTTTACGTCAAAATATATATATATATATTTTTTTTAATATATTTTATTGATTTTTTTACAGAGAGGAAGGAAGAGAGAGAGAGAGAGAGAGAGAGAGAGAGAAACATCGATGAGAGAGTCATCAATCAGCTGCCTCTTGCACGTCCCCTACTGGGGATGTGACCACAACCAATGTATATGCCCTTGACTGGAATTGAACCTGAGACCCTTCAGTCAGCAGGCTGACGCTCTATCCACTGAGCCAAACCAGTTTCGGCACGTCAAAATATTTTAAAGGACATTAAACCCTCAAAATTGCCAGAGATTTGGTTTATTATGACATTAATATTTTTTTAAAAATATATTTTATTGATTTTTACAGGGAGGAAGGGAGAGGGATAGAGAGTTAGAAACATCGATGAGAGAGAAACATCGATCAGCTGCCTCCTGAACACCCCCCACTGGGGATGTACCTGCAACCATGACACGTGCCCTTGACCAGAATTGAACCCAGAACTTTTCAGTCCACAGGCCGACGCTCTATCCACTGAGCCAAACCGGTTTCAGCGACATTAATATTATTAATCAAAACTATTTGAAAGCCAAATTAGCTTTTGGGTAGTTTTGGATAAGTCTTTTGAACTTCTTAGTACTTTAGATACTAGACCTGATTCTTGTGTTAGTCATCAGTAACCAGATTTTATCAGTTTAATAATTGATATATAAAAAAGTGTTTCTGATTGAAGCTGGGCAATTTGGAAAGTAACTGCAAAAGAATATTGTAAAGCATCTACTTTGGAAAAGGGACGAAAGTTGAATGAAGATATCTAAATTGAGTCAAGGTAGCTAAGTTGAAGTGAGGCCTTATGGGTGGTATGATACAGATTTCATTCTCTACGATAGAAGCTAAGAATATCTCTAAGCCTGTTTTCTTATCTGTTAATTGAGATAATACTTCTTTTCTAGAGGATTTTATAAAAATTAATTTTATTGTTTTTAGATACAGCATGCACTCAATAAATGTAAGCTTTTGCTGCTATTATTAATAATAGTAATATTGATGATTTATACCAAGTTACCTATCCTACACATTTTCATTTTTTTTTCTTAGTAGAATTATACACTGCAGATATATTTCTTGGAGTTGGTAATATGACTTCTTGAAAACTATCTGCATGGAAATAGGCATGTGTTCTTAATACAGATATATAGGTATATGCATGTTTTAGGGAACCAGCAGTAAGCCAGGGGTTTTCCTTAAAACTCTTTTTTGTTGGTTGGTTTGTTTGTTTTGCTTTGGATAGAATTATATTTTAATTTTTTAAACCCCTAAAACTTGAAATCAAATATAGTTTTACACTTTGAAATCAAATACAGTTTTACAGTTTGAGTCCCTGTTCATATGCAGAGAGAGAGTCATTTCCCATACTAGATATAAAACTGAGTATATTTGGGGGAAATGTACTACAAAAAGAACTGAAAGAAATAATATTAGTAGAGACTGCATAGTGAGGCAATAGGTGGTTTCAATTACAATATTTTCCACACATGACTGAGAACTGCAGGCTACTTTATCCTCAGGGAAAGGAATTTAGGATCAAGAGGTCCAGGGTGCCAGTATGTTTCCAGAAGGTTTACTTGGTTGTTAAGGTAGTTGACAGAGTAAGTGATAAATTGTAACAGGTTGTTGACAGTATTCTAAGACACCTTTAGAATTTTTCTGTTGGAAATGACATTTAATCAAACATTAAATGAAATGCAATCTGAAATCACTAAAGTAACATTTTAGACAATATTATGAGTGAGAAGTATAGCAGAATTTTGCTTCAATTGCTACTGGGAATACGTTTTTTTAAAGCATTATAATATGTATTTAAGACTTTTAATTTCCCCACCTCATTTCAGAGTTAGATCCAGAATTTTTTTCGGAGAATCTTAAAAACTCCACATTACCTAAGACGAACTTTAGACTCAGCCATTTCTGAGGGAGAGTAAAGTGACCTTAAGTATCATGTGTTTGTTTTGTTTTTCTTTCACAAAGAATGTCAAGCCTAATCTGCCTCTGCCACATTTCCAGTAATTGTTAAACCCACATCACTGCACTTGGTAGATAACCTAATATAACTATACTCTTTAAATATTTGTCAAGAGGTATGGTGTAAAACTATCTCCTTATGGAGCAAAAACTGATTGAGAGAAATAATATGTGTTCATAGTTTATAGAGGATTACATAAAGGAAAGAACATTGATTTGTTTCTTTTTAGTAGTTTTTTATTTTGCTATCTCAGTTTTTTGTTTTGTTTTGGGAGGGCTTAGAGATGACTTCCTGGAGGGATCCTAACTATCTATTTTGGAACCAAAAGTGCTGCTCTGTCTTACAAATACGGAGGATTTGATGGCATACATTTTACCTTTTGACCTCAGTCCTGCCTTCATTTGACATGCTCCTTGTTTTCTCTTTTCCTAATTTTTCTCATAATTGTTCAATCTTATTTATGTTGCTATATTGTATTTCTTTTTTTGTAAATCATTTTGGCTACACATTGATTGAAGTCTATATATAAACACAAACTGACAGTTTTAGAGATCCTTCTTTCCAAATTGTTGTAGTTTGTTCATAGAATATACATGTCTTAGTATTTATAATAAAATAGTGGCCCAGTGCATGAATTTGTGCACATTGAAAGAAAATTGATTGGAAGAAATATTTTAATATAGCTATTCGCCCTTTCCCTATAATAGAAGTACCAACCAAATAAACAATCTACAATGACATATCAAAACACACGGGTGCGATTGGTGCCAGCTAGAGCTTTATACGTATAGCGCGTGTGCAAGTCAACTTAGCCTTTTAGATATATAGAATAAACTTACTTATTAGACCTGCTTTCTGATGTAGCTAAACTTTTTCCATCCCTGTGAAGCACCCTAACTTCTTTTCAGATAATTGTCAGTAACACATCTTGTGGTGTCCATCTTGTGTCCACATGGGGGCAGTCATCTTTGACCACATGGCGGCAGCTGTCTTGTGTGTTGGAGTGATGGTCAATTTGCATATTATTCTTTAATTATATAGGATTAAATCGAATAGAGGCCTGATGCATGGATGGGGGGCAGCTGGTTTGCCCTGAAGGGTGTCCCGGATAGGGTGTGAGTTCCCTTGGGGCATGGGGTGGCCTGGGTGAGGGGCCTGTGGTGGTTTGCAGGCCTGCTACATCCCTAGCAACTCAAGTGGAGGCACTGGTATTTGGGATTTATTTCTATAATTGAAACTTTGTAGCCTTGAGTAAAGGCCTTGGGCCACCAGGATGTGTGGAAAGTTTGGTTTCCTACATCTCTAGGGGCAACTCAAGTCTCCTGCTCTCTCCAGCTCCATGGCTGCTGCCATTTTGTTGGAATTTATTTATCTTCTATAATTGAAATTTTGTAGCATTGAGTGGAGGCCTGGGCCTGCCAGGACAGGTGGAAAGCTTGGCTTCCTCCAAGCCCCCCTCCTGCTCTCTGTGGCCACAGCCATCTTGGTTGGGTTAATTTGCATACTCACTCCTGATTGGCTTGTGGGTGTGGCTTGTGGTTGTATCACAGGTATGGTCAATTTGCATATTACTCTTTTATTAGATATGGGGATACTAGAGATTCAGTGCATGAAAATTCCTGCAGGGGGTTGTAGAACTCAGCCTGGCTTGTCCCCTCTCACAGTTCGGGAACTCTCAGGGAATATCCCACCATGGGGAGTGGCCCTAAGCCACAGTCTGGCCTCCCTCTGCAGGAGGCAACCGTGCTAAACAGGGGAAGGTGCTGCTGCTGCCATTGCTGGCTGTTAGCCTCCTTCAGCCCTTGCAGCCACTGCAGCTTTGTCTGGAAAATGTCTGGTCTATACTGTCTAATTAGCATATTATCCTTTTATTAGTATAGATGGTCTCTATACAGTTAAAAAGATAAACTGGGAAAAGAGCAGATAAGATGATAACCATAAAACTGTAGAAAATGCTTTTTATAAAATATGTTTGCCTAAGGCTGTTACAATTGTGGGATGGTGGCTCCATAATAGTTCTTGCTTAAGGAGCCTGCATACACAGTTGGGTCCAGTAGCCAGCTCTAGAAGCAGCAGGAGGTAAGGCCTAGCCTATATGTCAAAACCATCTGAAACTGTTCTAAAGCTCTATGCCAGTGGACAGCAAACTGTGGAGCATGAGCCACATGCAGCTCTTTGGCCCCTTGAGTTTTTAACAAAGGCCAGCTTAGGAATACCCTAATTAAGTTAATAACAATGTACCTACCTATATAATTTAAGTTTATTTTATTTTTTTATTAAATCTTTATTGCTCAGATTATTACAATTGTTTCTCCTTTTTCCCCCCATAGCTCCCTTCCACCTGGTTCCCACCCTACCCTCTGCCCTTACCTCCCCTCCTTCCATTATCCTCATCCATAGGTCTATGATTTTAGTCCAGTCTCTTCCTGCACCTCCCACACCCCTTTCCCCCTGATAATTATCAATCCATTTCCTTAAATTTAAAAAATTTGGCTCTCAAAAGAAATTTCAGTTGAAGTGTTGATATTTGGCTCTGCTGAGTAATGAGTTTTCCTATCACTGCTCTAGACTAAGCTTTGGTCTGATTTCTTAAGTGGGATGTAAGGCTTTCCGCCTGGAATTTTGTGACACTATTTTTACCTAATCTTTGCTGATGACTATGGAGAAATCTAAACCAGGCAGTTACTGTGGTTGCTCTGGTTGAAACAGATAGGTTAGTAAGTACTGAGAAACAGGATTATGTAATTTTGGGGAAGGTAAGACAATAGATTTCATTATCTGTTATATATTCTGAATTAACAGAGCCTGCATTGATTCGAATGAAGACGGGGACTTGAGTAAAGCTACTGTATTAAGAAACTACAAAGAAGCCCAAGAATATAGCTCTTTTGGCACAGCTGAGATGTTGAATTACTCCGTTAATATATATGATGATGGAAACCTGCTCTCTATTGTGACCAGTGGAGGTATTCTGTTTTAGTACAATAATTAGAGTTAAATTTACAAAGTGCAAGATGATAAATTTCTGTAGCCAAATGCAGCCTCATAGAGAATTTAATTTGGAGATTCCAACTGAAGAACTAAATCTGGAATAACAGATGTAATTTGGTTCCTTGGCAAGGTGTTCCTTAAAATCATAGTCATGTAGGATCCCTTCCAAGAATATAAACATGATCCAACCACAAAAAAAATCCATCAGCATAATACATCTAAAGAACAGTAATTTCACTTCCAAATATTAACCTGAGAGAAATTCAAACTGTTTTTGAAATGACATAGAAGATCTTTTTACCTGATTGTTTGTATTCTCAGGTGAAACAGTTTAAATACCCATCAACAAAAGAATAGTTTTTTTAAAAATTGTGTCATTCATACTGTGGAATATTATACAGCAATCAAAACAAATTTATATATACCTATATCATGCATAAATTTTAAAAATGATAAAACATGTAAAATATATCAGTGTTTATGGATATATGTGTGTGTATCGTAACAGTATAGATGGTAAGAAAATGCACACCAGCTTCTAGATAGTGGTTATTTCTGGTGAAGGAGCAAGGGGAATGAGGTCAAGAAGATTTTAATTTTTTTTTAATTTAAATTTTATTTTTTAACTATAGTTTACATTTACTATTTTACATTAGTTTCAGGTATACAGTATAGGTTAGACAATCATATACTTTCCAAAGAATGAAAGATATTGAACATTTCCATCACACCCACAGTTTGCTTGTGTTCCTATGTGATCCAACCTTGTCTCCACTCACAACCTCAGGTAGCCACAAAACTGTCACTCTAGATTAGTTTACATTTTCTAGAATTTTTATGTAAGTGGAATAAAAATATGTTTTGGGGGGTTTTGTGTTTGTTTTCCAGCCTTATTTCAGAGTAATGGTTTGAAATTTATTTATATTGTGATTATAATAGCTTATTCCTTATTTATTAGTAGTATTTCATGATGTGGATACATCATGGTTTGTTTATCCATTCACCTTCTGGTGGACATTTGCATTGTTTTAACATTTGTGTACGAGTCTCTATGGAAATAAATTTTTGTTTAACTTGGAATGATATTTAAGAGAACTGGTTAGTTACAGTACGCATTTATTCAATTTAAGAAACTCCCAGGCTGTTTTCCTCAGTGGCTGTACCCTCTGCATTCCACCAGCAGAGCATGAGTGCTCCAGAAGCTCCACATTCTTGTCCACACAGTGTGGCCAGTGAAACTTAATTTTAGCCATTCTAACTGATAGGTGGTGGTGGCGGCAATTTTTTTTTAGGGGTTGGTTAGGGAGATTACATTAAAATCCAACTTTGCTATTTTTTTGTTGTTGTTTTGTTAATCCTCACCTAATAATATTTTTCCCATTGATTGATTTTTTTTTAAGAGAGAGTGGAAAGGAGGGATGGAGAGGGAAGGAGAAAGAGCGAAATATCAGTGTAAGAGAGACACATCAATTGGTTGCCTCTGTCATGTGCCCCAACCGGGGCTGGGCATCGGACCTGCAACCCAGGGAATTAAACCCACGATCATTCGGTGCATAGGTGGAGTGGACACTAACCAAGGAGTACACTTCTCAGGGCTCCAGTTTTTCTGTTTTTATTGGAAAAAATAAGACAGGAAGAATTGGTAATATTGGATCCATAGTCTTACATAACAACAGTTGTCTGGAGTAGAGGAATCTCAACATAGCAGCAGACCCAGTTGGAAGAGTCTTATTTCATTTCTCCTGGAGCTCCAATTATTTCAGTGTCACTTAATGAAAACATTAAGGCCCAATGCCAGTTGTAATTTATCATTATGTTTGTGTTACTGTTTATCTGACAGTAATGTGACATTTCTCTCTACCCATGACTTTTAAAAAACTTACCAATTAAAAAAAGGCCCAATTTTTTTGTTTGTGTTTACTTCATTGGTATTTGATATATGTAGAGGAAAGTATACAAATCACAAATTGTATATGCATTTAATTATCCTAGGTGAACACACTGTCTAGCCACCACCAACTCAAGAAATAAAAATATTGGCAAGACTCCCATTATTTCTCTTTTTAACCACTAACACACCCTCCCTCCCAAGTTAACTATTGTCCTTATTCTATTAGCACATTAGATTGAACCATCTAGTATTATTTTATGGATTAGAAATGATTAAATAGTGGTAATTGCACATGGTTCAATGTTATTATGGTGATATTCAATTTATGTAAGTGAATTATTCATTATATACCCTTTTGTGTGTGACTTTAAATCAGCCTTATTTTTGTTTGCCTCATCCCATAGTGTATAAAAGTAGTTCATATTTATTGCTATATAATATTCAATTTTGTAAATACACCATGTATTCATGCAAGTTTTTTAATTTTATAAGCAATGCTGCCATGAACAATTTTGCATTTGTCTTTTACTGTGCACACATTTCTGTTGGGTACATAGCTAGAGGTGGAATTGCTAAGTTATAGGGTATGCCTATGTGCAGCTTTCCAAAATGCTCGTCTATTCTTCTACTAGCATTGTGTGAGTGCACATCCCATCCATGGTTGCTGTTGACAGTCAGCCTTACAGTTGTAGCCATTCTGAAAGATAATGTGGCTTTGATTTGTATTTCTCAGACTAATGAAGTTGAACATATTTTCATATTTATGAGTCATTTGGATTCCTCTTCTGTGAAATGCTTTTTAAGTGTTTCACTCATTTTTCTTTCACATTTCTTCTTTGGATTTGAAAGGTTATATTCTGGATATAAGTTTTTTGTCAATTATATATATTGCGAATAAGTACTTCCTCATCCTTGTGACTTGCACTTTTGCTCTCAATGAACACAGGGTAGTAGAATAGTGTATGGAATTCAAAGAGTTTTCATTTTTTGTGTATTACTGATAAGAAAATTAAGGGAATAATATATTATTAAATATTAAGGTGAGAGTATATTCTTAATTATTTTTATCATGATTAATATAAAACTGAATGGCTAAAACTTTGGACCTGTGAGAATATTTTGTCCTGTCCCTCTCTTTTTGCCTCTAGGAGCTCACGGAACCCACGTAGCGAGTATAGCTGCTGGACATTTTCCAGACGAACCTGAACGGAACGGTGTGGCTCCTGGTGCCCAAATTCTTTCAATCAAAATCGGTGATACAAGACTGAGCACAATGGAAACGGGCACCGGCCTTATAAGAGCTGTGAGTTTTTGTGAGATGTTGATTTAGAAGATTAACAATTGATGAGCTGGAATAGTTTTAGGTTTATAAAGTGCTTACCAACAGTTTTTCAGTTATTTTGTTAAAATTATTAGGATAAAATTTCTTGGAAAATATAAAAATATTATTTATTTTATACTTCTCATTTTGAGGTACTTTAAAACAACAAAAAATGCCTCTTTACCAGCTTATTCCATCAGCCTAAGAAGAACTTAAAACTCTACATTTTATTTTAATATGAATTATATTTTAATTTTGGTAAGAATAATTCCATTTTCCCTTCCTCTCCCCTATTCCAATCTGCAAATGCTAGTTATATTTTGTGTGTGGGTTTTTGTTTGTTTGTTTTTTGTAATTTTTAAAAATTCCTACCTAGGGACATGTTTTTATTGATTTGGGGGAGAGAAGGGGGTAGGGGAGAGAACGAGAATAAACCATTGATGTAAGAGAGAAACATTGATTGGTTGCCTCCTTACAGATCCCAATTGTATATCAAACCTGAATCCTAAGTATGTGCCCTGACCGGGAATTGAACCCACAAACTTTTGGTGTACAGGACTAGGTACCAATTGAGCCTCAGTGGTCTCTAGTTTTGTGTTCTATAGATATTTACTATATGCTGTCTCCCCCTACCTATTTTTAAATTTTATTAACCATATGCTTAGAAGTAACATATTATATATTGGAATTTAAATTAGAATATGATTGATTAAGAAACTAGGATTCTATGCCTTTATTTTACTGGCATGTCTGTTTCTATACATTGCTTCCTAAATTAGATTATTCATCTTTTTAATAGATGATAGAAGTTATAAACCATAAGTGTGATCTTGTCAACTATAGCTATGGAGAAGCAACTCACTGGCCAAATTCTGGGTGAGTGTTCTTTGTATCCTGTTACTCATAAGAACTTAGCAGAATAAGAGGATGAAATGCTTTTCATAACTGGGTTGAAAATTATAGTTGAAAAAAGCAGTCACTGTGATTAGATGACAACTATGTCTCCTAGATCTGGCCCTCATTCTCATGGTCGTATTCTTGATATCCTTATTTCCTCCTACCCAGGGATAACCCATGTCCCATCTATCACTAGAATTCCTCATCCATAAGCACCCTGAACTCTTCCAGGTGTAATTACCTGACTAAACTTCATATTGTGGAAACCCTGGCATTCCCTTCCGTGATCCCATACCTGCACTGCCATACTTTTCAGGAGAAACACACTTACAACCCACGTCAGGTTTAAGACCATGGATATGAGATTGTTCATATATACAGCATTGTCTGATCACATTGCATTTATCCTCTCCCTCCTGTATGACTATTTTACATCTCTTCTCAAAGACCTTCCCTCCCGGAGAGAATAAAAGCACTCAGCAAGGGACTTGGTGCCCTTCCTGACCACCTCTGACTCCACCTTCTCTGCCTTCCCTGTTGTGTAATGAAAGAAGTGCCAGGATCAAGTCACTCAAGCCTCTAAGATGTGTATCACATTTCCTTTCTCCTTTACTGCATTATTATACAGATATGCTCCGGAGTTGTCAGCCTTAAAACAGACAAAAAACCTTTTTATTTCATACTGCTTTCACTCACTTATCTGGGAAAACCTGGTTTGAATGTTCACATTCTAAGTCTCTTCCCGATCCTTGCTTATCAGTGTCATCTTGTTGCCAAATCCAGTGGTTTAATTTTGACCTCATGCTATCTTACATTTTTTCTTCATAGTAATAACTTTGACATTACCTTACTTCAAGTATTATCTTACTGGTCATTTTCTTCCTCCCACCACCAGGCCATTCATATATACCTATTATTCAGTGTCGGAGGCTCTTTAATAAAATCCTGACAAAGTTCAAATTTTACCAAACCCAGACTGTTTAGTTTGCTGTTATCAAATAACTTACTGTTTCCAGAAAACTAGTACTACTAAGTTTCTATGACACATCCTTTTCTTGTCCTTTTAACAAGCACCCTATCATCCTCAGACATTTTATTTTTGAATGCAATCTTGACCCATCTTTTTGCTTCAATATCTTATTTACCTAAGTGTATTTCTTTCTCTCTTCCTTTGATATTCATCTGTTTAAAGTCATTTCCCCTAATACCCTTTTGTACTTTGGAGTGACCTTAGCCCTATATATTTGTTATATTGACTCCATTTTCTTCATGGCCTAACTTCATCTCTTTTAATTAATACCAGTACATTTTTTCTTGTTTGCTATCAAGCTCTAACCAGATTTCTTATATTTTAAATCTTTCTCTAAAGTTCTCCATAGTGCTTTATTTCCTTCACTTTTAAAAAATATATGTATATTTTATTGATTTTTTTTTTAACAGAGAGGAAGGACCCGAGATAGAGAGTTAGAAACATCGATAAGAGAGAAACATTGATCAGCTGCCTCCTGCACAACCACCACTAGGAATGTGCCCACAACTGAGGTACATGCCCTTGATCAGAATCGAACCTGGGATCCTTCAGTTCATAGGCTGATGCTATCCACAGAGCCAAACTGGTTAGGGCTCTCCTTCACTTTTGTCACTAATTACAAATATATCTAGGAATTCCTCAGGAGTTATTTCTGAATATGTTACTTAAAGTGGAATGGGAGTGAAATCACCAATTGGCCCATTACCCAGTCACAACTAATCATTCAGTATTCTTTTGTAGTTTTCCCCATATATATATATATATATATATATATATATATATACAATGTTGTATGTAGCATTTCTCCACAGTTAACCTGGCATCATAACTGCTTCCCACATCAAATCTAACTAGGGTGCATCATCTTGAATGACTGTATTATGTTCCACCAATGTTGGATGGCACCAAAAGTTACTTAACCACTCATTTGAACAATATTTTGGTATTATAGATACTTTTAGAAAAGAGGCTAAGCATTTATTGTATTAGAATGTCCCGATCTCCATTTCATCTAAGAACAGGAACAGGACGAATGCCTACTTTCACCACTCCTGTTTGACATAGTACTGGAAATACTAGCCATAGCGATTAGATAAGAAGAAATAAAAGGCATCCAAATTGGAAAGAAGTAAAACTTAATATTATTTGCGGATGACATGATATTATACACAGAAAACCCTAAAGACTCCATCAAAAAATTACTATATTTAATTAATGAATTTGGCAAAGTATCAGGATACAAAATTAACACCCAGAAATCTATGACATTTTTATACACCAATAGTGAACATACAGAAAGATTTAAAATCCCATTTACCACTGCACCAAAAAAATGAAGATACCTAGGAATTAACTTAAGTAAGAAGGTAAAAGACCTCTACCTGTAAAACTAGAGGATGTTGAAAAAAGACATAATGGAAGACATAAACAAATGAAAGAATACACTGTGTTCATGGATTGGTAGAATCACATTATTAAAATGACCATGCTACCCAAAGCAATCTATAGATTCAGTGCACTCATTAGAATACCAACAGCATATTTCACAGATAAACTCTCCAAAAAATCATCTGGAATGAAAGAAGACCCTAAATAGCTGCAGCAATCCTGAGAAAGAAGAAAAAAGTAGGAGGGATCTCAATACCAGATATCAAGCTATTTTACAAAGCCATTGTTGTCAAAACTGCCTGATCCTGGCACAAGAACAGACATATAGACCAACAGAGAATTCAGAAATAGACCCACGCCATTATAATGCTCAATTAATATTTGACAAAGGCAAGAGCATACAATGGAGTCAAGACAGTATCTTCAATAAATGGTGTTGGGAAAATTGGACAGAAACATGCACAAAAAAAAAAATGAAACTAGACAACCAACTTATATCATACACAAAAATAAACTCAAAATGGATAAAAGACTTTAAATGTAAGAGAGGAAACCATAAAAATCTTAGTGGAATCCATAGACAGCAAAATATTGGATATATGTCGTAGCAATATCTTTACTGATACTGCTCCTAGGGCAATGGAAACAAAGAAGAAAATAAATAAATGGTACTACATCAAAATAAAAAGCTTCTGCACAGCAAAAAAGAAAAGAAAAAAGAAGAAAGAAAAAAAAAAGCAAGAAAGCCCATTGCATGGGAGAACATATTTGCCAATGTTATTTCAATAAGGGTTTAATCTCCAAAAATTTACAGGGAACTCCTCCAACTTAACAAAAGGAAGATAAACAATCCAGTCAAAAAATGGGCAATGGACCTAAATAGACACGTTTTTGAAAGGACATACAGAAAGCCAAGAGACATATGAAAACATGCTCAAAGTAATCATCTGAGAGATGCAAATCAAAATGACAATGAGGTACCATTTTACACCTGTCCTAATGGCTATCATCAACATAGCAACGAACAACAAGTGCTGGCGAGGGTGTGGAGAAAAAAAGCAACCCTCATACACTGCTGGTAGGAATGCAGACTGGTGCTGCTACTGTGGAGGACACTATGGAGTTTCCTCAAAAAATTAAAAATGGAACCTCCATTTGACCCAGTGAATCCTCTTCTAGGAATATATCCCATGAAATTAAAGTACAGTCGGAAAGATATACGCACTCCTATTTTCTTAGCAGCGCAGTTTACAATAGCTAAGATTTGGAAACAGTTTAAGTGCCCATCAACAGGTGAATGGATTAAAAAACTGGTACATCTATACAATGTAATATTACACTACTGTAAAAAAGAAGGAATTCTTACCATTTGCAACAGCATGGATGGGACTGAAGAGCATTATGGGAAGTGAAATAAGCCAGTCAGAGGAAGATAAATATCACATGATCTCACTCATTTGTGGAATATAATGGACAACATAAACTGATGAACAAAAATAGAGACAGAAGTATTAAACCGAAAGTCAAACCTAAGAGGGAAGGGGGTAGTTGCAGGGGGAGAGGGTAGAGATCAACCAAAGGAGTTTTATGCATGCATATAAGCATAACCAATGGTCACAGACACTAGGGGGGTGAGGGGATGTGTTCAGGGGAGTGGCTGGGGTAAGGCCAATGGGGGGGAAGAGACATGTAATACTCTAATTAATTAGGGAAAAATAAAAGAATGTCCCTATCTGAGTGATTCTAATGCATATTTCCTTATATATAGCCATTGTTTTAGATCTGTTACTTGGAACCATATTTTAGTCATATATACATATATATTATATACCATATTAGTCTTTTATATCTGCAAATATGGTATATATATTTTCACATAATAATAAAGATTTTGAAAAGTGGGACAATTTTTTATTTTCAAAGGAATTCTCTCTCTCTTTCAGGAGGATTTGTGAAGTCATTAATGAAGCAGTATGGAAGCATAACATAATTTATATTTCCAGTGCTGGAAACAATGGCCCATGCCTTTCTACAGTTGGTTGTCCTGGTGGAACTACATCAAGTGTAATAGGTGAGTTTCCTATTTTAGAAATGAACTTGTTAAAAATCAGCAAATAAAAAACACCTCAGTTATTCCATTGTTAATTAGATCTCTATGCAAGACACCATAATCCTTAAATACAACCTTGAGAAACTGAAATTTCGTGCTGATCTGGAGTAAGTGATTGAAGTGGTATTATAAAAGTGCAGCCACTTCTGATTTGAGAATTTAGGTAAGGATATTTGAAAGAATTATGGGAATAAGGATTTTAGTCAGTAGAAATGATCAAGGAAAGAGCTATCCACACTAAGTGAAAAATGTAAAGATACTTTTTAAAATATATATATTTTTATTGAGTTCAGAGAATGGATTGGAGAGAGAGAGATAAACATCAGTGTTGAGAGAGAATCATTGATCATTTGTCTCCTACACTCCCCACACGGGATTGAGTCCATAGCCGAGGCATATGGCCTGACCAGGAATCGAACTATGACCTCCTGGTTCGACTACTGAGCCATGCTGGCCAAGCCACTTGCTTTACTTTTTGTTTATAGTGTATGACTAATTTCATAGTATAGTTTTCTCCTTTCATTTCTCTTAGAACATGTAGAAAGAACCAGATGTAGAAGAAGGAAGCTCTATTAATGAAAAAAACACTTGAAACACATTTGTTCCATGAAAGTGGTTTTTTTTTTCAATCTTTGGTCTTCAGATATGCTGTAGTGTTGGCTGTTTCACTGTAATCTAATATAAAAAATGCGTATCAACAAGAGCTACGGGAAATCAAAATTAGTCATAGTATCAAAATAAGACAGCTAACATTATAGTACAGTAGCTGATAACTTATGCAGAAAAACCCACAAAATATAAAACCTACACCCTGTTCTTTTTAAATATGTTGCATGAATTAGAAGGATAAATTGAAAGAAATGATGCCTACAATTTTTATTTTTATTTGAGATCAAAATAAGGCTTCTGCTTTTTGACATTTGTGATCGGATATATGATTATAAAAACTATTAGGTCTCAGATACTTTTTCTGGTGTATATATCAATTGCCTAGGTACATGCATATTATACCTGTCACTAGTATGTATATATAATGTTTGGTTATCAAAGCTTCAAAACTGCTCCTTTTAAAAAAAATTTTGTCTTAAAATAAATGATCTTACAAAAATAAGATATAAATATAAGACATACTTTTATTTATAGCTACTAAATTTTAAGGTATATTTTATTTTATGTAATTTCAAACCTCTTAAATATTCTGTTAAATCATGTGTTAACAGAGCCTACCAGTGATACATACATTATGTATTTCAATTATCTAGATACTAGAAGCCTTGTGCATGAAATTTGTACAGTAGTGGGGGTTCTTTTAACACAGTCTGCACCCTCTCACAATCCTTTTGTTAATTATGAAATCTATCCCACAGGTGTTGGTGCTTATGTTTCACCTGATATGATGGTTGCTGAATATTCTCTGAGAGAGAAATTACCTGCCAATCAATATACATGGTCTTCTAGAGGGCCCAGGTAGGTGGAGGGTAGGACAGGTGGACTATTACAAACATTTGGCTAAATTTTACATGGTAGAGTTTTGTAATTTTACTGGTTCTAATAGTTTTTACTTTTTCAGCATTTTCATTTTGATTGAGAATTTATCTCAAGGAAACTGATCATTAAAGAAGTAAAATACAGCCATTTCATTGTTAGATGTATCCTGAGTATAAATTCTTAGGCCTGTGCCCCAAATCCTTCATTTATGAGGATCTGAATGCATAGTAAGAGTTAGGTTATCTTTAGAAAGTAACGAAGGCCTCTTTTGTAGGACCTTTGATGTTTGAATTTAGGTGAAACAATGGCCCAACATTTTGGAAAGTGTCACAGTTATAAACCTGCAGCCCCTGTATTTATGTGTTTAAAGTTATAATGTATTGAACAATTTTTATTACAATCCATAGTAGGCAAGTTCTGTTTGATAAATGAATTTTATCTACTTTGGTTTCTTGAAGCCCCTCTGTGAAGTATATTTATCTGATTCCAGGAAATGATTAACTTTCTCAAGAGGTATAGTAAGCTCACATTTATATAACCCCTCATTATGATATCAGTAAGTACAAGTACCTTCTAGAAAATAAAGCCTATTTTAACTCATCAATTTACCTCTTTGGAGTTATTTTTATTTAAAGAGAATCAGCTTTGAATTTAATTCAACAAATACCTTACTGCCTGCAGTAATAAATGAATAGGTTGTCATCCGATTTCACAATTTATTTTAGGACATTACATAGGTGGAAGTATCACTTCCTTTTGAGTGGAACCCCTCAAGGAGGTGATAGTATTAGAGTGGGCCTTAAAAGATGGATAGGACCCTCGCTGGTTTGGCTCAGGGGTCCTAGGTTTGATTCTGGACAAGGGCATATACCGAAGTTGTGGGCTTGATCCCCTGTGAGAGGTGTGTAGGAGGCAGCCGATCAGTGATTCTTTCTCATCATTGATGTGTTTCTCTCTCTCCCTCCCCTCTCCCTTCCTCTCTGAAGTTAATAAAATAAAATATATATTTTTTAAAAAGATGGGTAGGCTGAGACTGGTTGGGCTCAATGGATAGAGCGTCGGCTTGGGGACTGAAGGGTCCCGGGTTCGATTCTGGTCAAGGGCATGTACCTTGGTTGCAGGCATATCCCCAGTAGGGGGTGTGCAAGAGGCAGCTGATCGATAACTTTCTCTCATCTATGTTTCTAACTCTCTATCTCTCTCCCTTCCTCTCTATACAAAATCAATAAAAATATATTAAAAAAAAGATGGGTAGGATTTTGAGATAGAAGTAGGGAATTTTATATGGAAAGAATAGCATGAACCTAAAGATGAGCAAATTTTAATGCAAAGATTTGGGAAAAATAAGTAGTAATTGGGTTCGTTGAATATATAAAACATATTAAAGGGACTATTGGAAGATAACATTAGGAAAATTGGTTGGGATCAGATCAAATATGATAATGCCAAATTTTATCCTCTGAGTTACAGTATCTTCCTATCTTTCTCAAGTAATTTTTCTTTAAAAAATAAAATTTATTTTAGTAGTGTTTTTATTTTATAACTGTCATTAAAAGCAATCAGGCTGTGGATTTCCATGTGGTTCAAGAAGCTTTGCCTATCTTAGCACCTTTGTTATATATATACTGCCCTCATTAGCCCAACTAACTGGCCTAAAACTCTACATCATTGAATAAGAGTGGCTAGAAATAGGTCAAAGTCAACAAATGTTCATATCTTTTATGCTTAGTTAATAAATGCATTGATTATTAAACTTGTTCTTTTCTAAAATTGATTTTTTTTAAAAAAATATATTTTATTGATTTTGTACAGAGAGGAAGGGAGAGAGATAGAGAGTTAGAAACATCAATGAGAGAGAGTCATTGATCAGCTGCCTCTTGCACACCCCCTACTGGGGATATTCCCGCAACCAAGGCACATGCCCTTGACCAGAATCGAACCCAGGTCCCGTCAGTTCCCAAGCCGACACTCTATCCATTGAGCCAAACCGGTTTCGGCTCTAAAATTGATTTTTAAATACTGTTTTAACTTATAGTCAGGATAAACAGCAAGTAGTAGAGAATGTTTTAAATCAGCTTTTGTCAGTCTTATTTTTACATATAACATTTAAATAATTATTTTAAGAAAATGAGTTCATGAATTGTGGGGGAAGCTCTGATTAAGCAGATAGTGGTTCACAAACCAGTTTTCCTAAGAATTGAGAGCATTGGTTTGATGTTTACTGTACTGTAAACATTGAATGTTATTGAAAAGACTTGTTTTACTAATTAGGCTGTGAAATATAAAACATTGACTAATGATTACTGAATGAATATATTCTTTAGGCCTATTTTAAAAATCCTCTTCATCAGGAAAGATTGTCAGATAAAGAAGTTACCTGAATTCCTGATGTTTGCAAGTATGGCATATATCTTAAAGACAGATTATCAAATACTGCCTACATAAACACTTTTTGAATTTTATTACATACTGTATTTTAGAAGAAAATAAAATAGTTTTTTATTTTAAGAAAATTTTAATATAATGTTTGTATAAGGTTTTTATAAGGAATATGTAAGTTTACATTAGAAATTTTTAATTTTAATACAATTTTTATTTACATTTTATAGAACCCATTTTTAGAACACAGATTAAATGCTTTACTATTAGCCACTTTAATAAATTAGTGGAAAATTAATAAGTAAGACTGTTAGAATTGATGACTCTTCCAAGTTATTTTCTTTAATAATAAGATACCAGATACTCATTGTGAACATTGGCAGACAATATAGATAATGCCAAGAAGAAAGCAAAAAGTACCCTAAATCTCATCTGTAGTATGTTTGGGTAACAACCTTTTAGTCATTCTGTGCATAAATGGGAGATCACACTATTCAGGCACTTTTGTAACTTGATAATACTACCAGTCAACAGCTATTTACTTTACAATATTTGTTTTAAGATAATTACTAAAAGGGATGCCACTCACCCATTTCATGAGGAAGATATGATTTGCATGCTTTCAGATCTCTTTGCAAAAATATGAAACCAAATTGCACTACTATCCCTCCCAAGAATAAAAATAACTTAGTCAGTTGGGGAAGAATGGTAGGAAGGAAGGACAGCCTCTGTGGGGAATTTATGGCCACTCTTCCAGGTGGAAAGAAGTGTAGTGTGCCTTTATTCTTCCTTTAGTTGGGGCAGAGGACAGAGCTTGTGTTTGGGGACAATGCAATAATGGCTCTACGGACTTGAATTCATTCATTTGTAGCCAAAGCCCTATACCAGGCAGCACTGTTGAGTTCAGCTGTTCAGTATGGCAGCCACTAATCCCATGAAGTTAGTCTTGTGTTAAGATGTGCTGTAAGTGCTAACTGTACAAATACTTTCCAGTACAAAAAAAGAATATAAATTAATTCATATTTTTTATCAGTTACATACTGAAATTATATTTTGGCTATGTTGAATTAAAAAAGATCTTATTAAAATTAACTTCAAATTCTTGTCACTTCTTTTTAAGTGAAGCTTTTAGAATATTTAAAATGACATGTGTCTCACATATTTCTGTTGGACAATGCTATATATATTAATTCAGACAAAGGCAAAGCTTATAGTCAGAGAAAAAAGAGGTACAACCATTAAGGAGCCTGAGCAATGCAAAATTTATTTTAAAGAATATATTTAATTTCTTTTTCATAAACATACCCGATAATCTTTTATATTTAAGTCTATTACACACACACACACACTCACACAGATTTTTTACTACAAAGGAAAAAAACTGCTCAATGGGGAAATAATTGTGCTGAGTATTTTTCCCCGTTGATTCCAATGATTTCAAGGAGTCCATGGGATTGTACTGTAAATTATTTGAACACCATATTTATCCAGTTATTATCATTGTAAGCAAACTAATGGCCTTTTTTTCAGTGCTGATGGGGCCCTTGGAGTGAGTATAAGTGCACCAGGAGGAGCCATTGCTTCTGTTCCTAACTGGACATTGAGAGGAACTCAGCTAATGAATGGGACATCTATGTCTTCTCCCAATGCATGTGGAGGTATCGCCCTGATACTTTCGGGTAAGGACATTTCTTACTGCTCTACGTGGTACTATTTCCAATAAAGCGATGGTGAATTTTTAGCTATTGCACATATATTATATTTTAAGCACAGTTTAATTTCTTTCCTTCCTTCCTCTCTCCCTTCTTCCCTTCCTATCTCCATCCCTCCTTCCCTCCTTTCCTTCCTTCCTTTTTTTGTTAATCCTCACCCAGGGATATTTTTCCCCTTGAATTTTAGAGTGGAAGGGGGGGCAGGGAGGAAGAGAGAGTGACATCAATGTGAGAGATCCATCAATTGGTTGCCTCTTGCATGCAGGATAGAACCTGCAACCCACGTACTGACCTTGACTAGGAATCCAACCCAAGACCCTTTAATATGCGGTCCTATGCTCTAACAACTGGGTCACAATGGCCATGGCTAATTACTTTTCTTAATGATACAGAAGTGGCATATAAAATGGATTTTATATGTATTATTTTATAATTTACCTTAGTCCTGCTACTAAAATCTATTGTTTATTTATAAGGTTAGATAAGTAGGTATTAAGTATCTAGATAGTTTTATGTTTATAGTGTAATATTTAGGTAATAGACAAAAGACTAGAAGCCCAATGCACGAAATTCCTGCATGGGGCTCAGCCCTCATGCCCCGGTTGCCACACACACACACACACACACACACACACACACACACCCCAGCCCACTGGTTCTTCCAGAAGGTCGTTTTGCCCTCTAGTCTAATAAGCATATTAGCTCTTTATTATGGATGATTATTGAATAAGTTTATCTTACCTTGTTGCAGACAGTAATTTTCTGAAATTCTTAGGGTGAGAAAATGTGATAAAATTGATAATGTTCTGGGGCTCAAAGTAAAGTTTAAGGTGAGAGTAATTTATGTGATAACTAGTGACCTGGTGCACGAAATTCGTGCACGAAGTGGTGGGCGGGGTTTCCCCTCAGCCCAGCCTGCACCCTTTCCCATTGGGGACCCCTTAAGCCTAATCGCACAGGCCAGGAGGGATCCCACAGGGATCCAGCCTAAACTAACAATCGGACATCCATCTCATGATCCAGGACCTCAGGCTCCTAACTGCTCGCGTGCCTGCCTGCCTGATCACCAATAACTGCCTTCCCCTGCCAGTCTGATCTCACCCCCAACTACTCTCCCCTGCTAGCCTGGGTGCCCCCAACTGTCCTCCCCTGCCTGCCAATTTGGTTCTGATTGGTCATTTTCTGTGCCAATCAGCATAAAAGTTCCACCTCCTAGACAGCCATTGGCTCCTCACAGTTCACCCAGATTTGGTTCTGATTGATCACTTTCTATGCCAGTCAATATCAAAAGCTCTGCCTCCTAGGCAGTTCCTCACAGTTCATCCAGATTTGGTTCTGCTTGGTTGGTTTCTATGCCAGTTAGCATCTCGGGGCCTATCTCTGGGCCTGATCAGAAAGGTGGGGCTGATCAGCAGCCTCTGCAGAGGTCCGGAGAGAAACAGAGGCGGCTGCTAGTGAAGCCTGGAGAGAGAAAGAGGCAACGGCTGATCAACAGCTGCCACAGAGGCTGCAGATCAAACCCTGCCTCTCTCTCTGAATCTGATCTGCAGCCCCCTCTGCAGTCAGTGATGGCTCGCCACGGCAACTCAGCACTCACCGCAGGACTGACTTCTGGTGTTTGGTCAAGCCTTTGGTCGTTTAGGATGTTATGGACCCTGGGTTTTTATATATTAAGATAATGATTTGACTGTGTATTTATTATTCATTCAAAAACTACATTTATTTATTGGCTATTAATGACTATCAAGCATTATTTTCGCTCTGGGGCTAAATTAGTGAACAAAACATCAAAAATACTTGCCCATGTGAAGTTTATATTGTGGTTGGAGGAGATAAACTACAAAAATACATACTAAATAGTTATTGCCCAGGTTGGGGTGGCTCAGTTGGTAGGAGCCTTGTCTTGTATACTAAGAGGTGGCATGTTTGATTCCCAATCAGGGCACATACCCAGGTTGTAGGTTCAGGAAGATGTGCAGGAGACAACCAGTCAATGTCTCTTTCCACCTTTTTCCCCACTGCCCCCCTTCCTCTCTCTGGAATCAATTTTTTAAATTATTTTTTAAATGTAATTGTCTATATTATTAGAAGGTAATGAATATTTCTGTGGAGCAAAGTGAAGTGGAAAGCGACATAGGAATTTCTAGCATGCTGTGCTGGAGGCTTATGTCATGAAATAGGGTGGCATAGACATTGACTAGCACTCAAATTAGGGTACCCTGACTGTGGTAACAATTCCAGCTCAGAACTGTCCCTCTCATATAATTTCCAGGACTCACTACCCTTATAACTAGTCCTGTTCAACCTCACCAAATATTTCAAGTTTGCTCATACTTCTGTCTTTGGTCATAATGCTCTTTGCCTAGAATTCCTTTCTCCCATTTTTTGGACTTGCAAACTCTTGTGCATGTATTTGTTCCTCTGATAGAGCTTCACCTTATTTGCTCTTACAGCATTATGATGTTTCCATGTTTGTTTTGCTCATTTCTTAAAATATCATAAGAGTTTACACGTTTGTTGAGCTCTGGAGAGGGCAGGAATACTATATTATTTGTCTTTAATCCTTAACAGCAGGCATTAATGCAGGGTTTACAGATTGGTGGCCTCTATATCCTTCCCATAGAACAGTCATTCCCATCCTGGGCGCCCTCTAGCATTGCCCTAGAAATTTTTAATTCATATTTGTGTCTGGGATCTAGTCTCAAAGATGCTACTTTAATTGGTCTGTGGTGAGGCCTCAGCATCTGTGGTTGTTTAAGTCCTCCTGGTGTTTATATAACATGCAATCAGTTTGGAAAATACTGCCAGCAACTATACAGTGGGAGCAAAAGTAGGTTTATAGTTGCTCATGTGGAAGATAATAGAATAATTAGTAAATACTAATATTATAAGAATAAACTATTTTGTATACGCACAACTTAAATCTACTTTTGCTCAACAGTTGATAACTAGTGCACGGAGGAGGGGTTCCCTCAGCCCAGCCTACACCCTCCAATCCGGGGACCTCTTGGGAGATGTCCCACTGCCGGTTTAGGCTCGATACCTGTGAGATCCCTCTGGGTCTGTGGGATTGGGCCTAAACCAGCATTCGGACATCCTTCTCACAATCTGGGAACGCAGATTGTTTTGTATTGTTTGACCAGCAGTGTTTTAAAGCAAATGTCATTGGAATGCCTTTAGGTATATGCTTCTTACATTTACATTATCTCTGCATAACCTGTTTTCATGCCCTTGCATAATGGGAACACAGTAATTTTTCTTAAGTAAGTCTTTGTGTGATATCAGCAGTTTTGGTTAGATTGTGTAGTGGGTTTTTGTTGGTGGTGGTGGTTTTTTTTTGTTTTGTTTTTTTGTGGTTTTCTTCTTTAGCGTGTGTGTGTGTGTGTGTGTGTGTGCACACGCGCGCGCGTGTGTGTTTTAAGATTTAAAAGTGAGTGTTGAAACACAAGACATGAAAACTAGGGAATGCACCTGTTATCTGTACTGTTGAGGGGGAAAGGTTTTAAAGTAGTGAGTTCTCTAACCCTTTTTTTTTTTTTTTTAATTTTAGGTCTGAAAGCTAATAATGTTAACTACACAGTTCATTCAGTCAGAAGAGCTCTAGAAAACACTGCAGTGAAGGCTGACAATATAGAAGTATTTGCCCAAGGACATGGCATTATTCAGGTATTGTTTGTATGGAAACTGTGATGTAAGTCATTGAGAAAATATTTTAGCTTTGTTGGATAATATTTCCTGTTATAATGATGATTCAGTATATTTAATTCTAGATTATATCATCATAGTGGTCTCTGAACTGGAAGCAGAGAGGATATGAAAACAAATTTTTTAGTTAAGACAACTTTGTTGCAGCAAGATAGAGAAATATAATACATGTAGAACCTATAGAGGGTAGAAATTCAAAGCAAAGAGGTACAAGGCAAAAACTGGTAAATCATACTGGTGTATGGGAGAGTTCCTCACCTTGGTCAATTGGGAATAATAATGTGAATGAAGAAAGTAGAAGGGAAGGTGAGTCCAGTAGTTAGACCGTAATTTGTCTATGAATGTATCCTTGCACTCTTAATTTTAGAGAACTAAATACAGATAGAAATTACAATAACTTTAATCAAATTGGTAACGTGCAACAAAATATTTTCTTGACCTAACCATTTATATCTTACTCTCTCTGTTCTTGTAATTAGGTTGATAAAGCCTATGACTACCTCATTCAGAATACATCATTTGCTAATAAATTAGGTTTCACTGTTACCGTTGGAAATAACCGTGGCATCTACCTCAGAGATCCTGTGCAGGTGATGGCACCTTCAGATCATGGTGTTGGCATTGAACCTGTATTTCCAGAAAATACTGGTAAGTACTAAATGGATGGTAAGCTCAAGTGCTCACATTTATTATTTAAGTGAATAGTATAATAGAGAAATGCTGTTTGGGCTAATGTTCTAAAGAGAAAACATAAATTGACAATATTATTATTATTTTTTAATTATTATTTTGTTAAATTCTCACCCAAGGATATGTTTTTATTGATTTTTAGAGAGAGAGAAAGAGAAACATCAATGTGAGAGAAAAACATCAAACGGTTGCCTCCCATACATTCCTGACTAGCGATCAAACCCGTAACCTAGCCAAAACCAGTTTGGCTCAGTGGTAGAGCGTCGGTCTGCGGACTGAAAGGTCCCTGATTCGATTCCGGTCAAGGACATGTACCTTGGTTGTGGGCACATCCGGTAGGGGGTGTGCAAGAGGCAGATGGTTGATGTATCTCTCTCATCGACATTTCTAGCTATCTCTCTCTCCCCCTTCCTCTCTGTAAAAAATCAATAAGATATATTTAAAAAACAAACAAACAAAAAAAACACAAAACCATAACCTAGCAATGTGCCCTGACCTGGAGTCAAACCCTCAACCTTTTAGTGTATGTGGCAACTGATGCTCCAACCAGCTGAGCCACACAGCCAGGGGCAGTATATTATTTTAAGTATTACAGATTTTAGAGAAAAGGTGATGGCACTTAGGAATTCCAATACTATGGCAATTCAGTTAGCATGCTGACTATCCAGGAAAATATGTAGAATGGGCCTTGAATGACCTATATTTTTATTAAATTGTGTGTAAATAATCAAATGCCTTTTCTTTTCCACTTTTAATCCTTGGGTATAAGGCAGAGTAGGAAGTAGAAGCAACCAAGAGTGCCTCTGTTCAGTGAGGTAAACAAAAGAGTCCTCCATATTTGACAGTCTTCATGTTGATCAAATGCCATTTCCACATGCAGTAGTGAAAAATATCCACACAAACTCCTTATATTAATCTAAGGCTGTAGCAGTGTTGAGTGAATGTGTAAATGGATTATAAGTGTACTAAAACATGAGGAAGATTCTCTGACTTTTATTTAAGCTGTGTTTTGTCTCGGGCCTTTTACAAATTTGCTAAATTTTCATAAGAAAAGATAGGACTTTTTTTAAATGAAAGAGAAAGTACTAATCTTTAATTTTTATTTTTCTTTAATGCCAGAAAACTCTGAAAAAATATCTCTTCAGCTTCATTTAGCTTTAACTTCAAACTCATCTTGGGTTCAGTGTCCTAGCCATTTGGAACTCATGAATCAATGTAGACATATAAACATACGTGTGGATCCCCGGGGTTTAAGAGAAGGATTACATTATACAGAGGTATTGGTGTAGCTTCATTTTTTTTTTTTTTTAACTTTCTTTACCTTTAAAATGTTTAAAAGTACTTTATGTGGCAGTCCTTTTCCCTATTGGTGTGAATTAGACAAGGGTTGTTTAGGCTATTTGCCATTAATCATGTGACATGATAGCAGAAAATTAATCAGCTGGTGCTTAAGATCTTTAAATTTTTATATTAGATTAATTCATACTGTGAATAGATTATACTTTTTCCTTTTTTCTCTGTTTAAGTTAATTATGGATACCAAAATGTAACATGCTGTTTTTTAGGTATGTGGCTATGATATAGCATCCCCTACTGCAGGTCCTCTGTTCAGAGTTCCAGTCACCGCAGTTATAGCAGCAAAGTAAGTAACATGTTACCAGTGTAGTAACAACTGACACTTGAACAACACAGTTTTAACTGTGTGCATTCACTTACATGTGAATTTTTTTCAATAAATACCTGTGCTTATACTGTTCTTGATTTGTAGTTGGGAATCCACAGGTGTGGAAGGCTGACTCTGCTCTGATCTATACCATTTTATACAGGGGCTTAAGCATCTGCAGATTTTGGTACCCCTGGGTTGTCCTGTAACCAATCCCCTGTGGATACTGAGGGACAACTAAGTTTTGGGGGAATCAAAAGTTATACATGGATTTTTGGCTGCTTAAAAGGTCAACGTCCCTAAATTCCCATGTTCTTCAAGGGTTGACACTTTTTTTTAATGGTTATTTATGGCAACAATGTGAACTTTTAAAGGGTTAATAGGCAAGAACTAGATAACCAGGCTTTAGTTCTGCTCCTTGCTCAAAGTTCTAGTGGCACATAGTCAACCATGTTATTCCTTGTTCACTGTGAGAATAAGTGGTGACATCTGTTCTGTGCCCTTGCATTGAAACTGCCTTCCACCAGGATGCTGATGCCCTTCTAATTGTCCGATTCAGAGGACCTCTTCGTCTTCATTTTGCCCACTCCCTCCGCAGTATTAATATATGACTTCACCCTCTTCTGCTCTCACTCCATTGTAATCCCCTTGTCATCTGGGATTGCTGTTTTCTCCTGATTCGTCCACTTCTCCAGTCACCTGTTGTTGCTAGACTCTTTGCTTTCCATCTTGTCTTTCACATGAAGCCAAGGAATTCAAGGCTAACCATATTGCTTCCCATTTAAATATATCAATGGCATGTTCAAGGACCAAATTATGCTCCTTAAAATAGCAAACAAGGATCCTTTATAAACCAGTGTTTCCTGTCATTTTTACATACACCATATTCCATGAAGTTACAGATGCTGACACTCCAGGTTTCCTCGGGACTGGGTTGATTTCTTTGTTTTGGTCTCCTTTCTCTCATCCACCAAGCATGTTCCTAGTCATCCCCAGGGGACGGGAGGCCCTTCTTGCTGCCTCCTAATGCTTTCTACATGCCTAGGTAACTGACTTCAGTGAATATATTGTGATTTTTTTAAAATTTAATTTACCCACCTACCCACCCACCCATTTGACTATGAGCCCACGGAACTGTATCTTTCATGTTCAATATGGAGCCCATTTTACAGTATTTGTACAAAAAAATGGTTTAGTAGAGGAAGGACATGATTGAGATTATATGAGTATTGGAAATAATAGAAAGTTCTAGGTTAAACAGTTTTTATATAGAATTAGTTACCTGGTAAATATTAAAAGTGTAATAGCCTTAGCCAATAGGAAACAGGATGAAATTGAGGCGATAAAAAGTGACATACACATGAAAAATTTCAGGACAGTTAAGTTCTCAACCTTACATTTTCTATAAGTCCAGTAGGAGCCTAGACAAAGTAATATGTAAGATTCAGGCATCAGCTGAGACATTATCTCCTTCAGGAAGCTTTCCCTGGTCCATTTGGATGGACCAAATATCTTCTAACACATCCGGTCTACCAAGAACGTGTTGCATTAAATGTCTCAGGTGGTTTTTCTGCCCCCTCTAGATTGTTTGTGGCAAAGGAAAATATTTTATTTATCATTGTATTTGTAACTCCTAATAACAGTGCCTTATATAGTAGGTTCTCGTTAAATTTTTGTCACATTGACTAGAATTTGTCTTTAGTGTGTACTTTAGGTTTTCATAGTGGGTAATATACATTAGACCTTTATGCTTCATTGACTTCCTACAAAAATGCTATGGAAGTAGATTCTTTCTTTACTGTGTCCTTGAGATTTGCAAACATTTTGAAACTACAAAAGGGGATTTATTTATACTAGTCTTAGAGCTATAGTCAGTATCAATGACATAAAAAATTATATTTGGTTGTAATATTTAGAGCTCTCTATAGCCCAGATTCTGGTAATTGGAAAAATTCTGTGAATGTAGCACAATTTCTTTAATGAAAAAAGTGAACTTGCTTATTGTGTGTGCATGTGTATCTTACATATTATAAAGCAGACAGGTAAAAGTAGAAAAATTATTTATACTGCACTAGCCAGAGTTTATCTCTGCTAATATGTTGCAAAAATGAGATTGTATTATACACACTATTTTGTAACCAGCCTTTAAATATTTATTTCTAATGAACTATTAAAATCTAGAATACTAGTGGACTTATAATTAATACAAAGCCTTTTTTTATGAGAGTACCACATTTAATCATTAATTTGTATTAATTTTCAGAGTAAATGAATCATCGCACTATGATCTAGCCTTTACAGATGTACATTTTAAACCTGGTCAAATTCGAAGGCATTTTATTGAGGTTCCTGAGGGTGCAACATGGGCTGGTAAGTAAAATTAAAGTCTGTCTTGAGCACTTAACTTTTTGTACATTCTATCTCTTTTATGATTATGACTTTGTAAAGTTCATGTATCTGTAATGCATATTTTTCTCATAACAGTATATATCTGGCACTCTAGATTTGCTAGTAGATTTTAAACTTTTTAAAGATCTATTATTATTTATCATTGGCTCATACATCAGATCATCTAGGCCATCTTAATATGTTTTAATATTCAAGATTTTAACTTAGTTTAGCATAATGCCTTACCTGTTAGTGATTGGAGATGGAGTTGCATTATTGAATGACTCTGGCTGCTATGCATGTACACTGAGCCTCTTGCAGATAGTATATAATGATAGGCTCTCATGAAACGTACATTAACCATTTTGAAGAATAAAAATCTATAGTTTATACTGATTCTGAAATCTTTTTGATGGTAGATGTTAGTAATTATAATGCCCTAATGTGACTTCTTTAGGCTGGTGTTGAAAATAGTGTTTTTTTTGTTGTTGTTTTTTTTAATTATAAGTTAATCAGCTGATCCAGAATGGAAAGAGATCAGAGCATTTAACAATCTCAGATTAGAAATGTACTGCAGGGGGTGGAGGAAATGGGGAAATGTTGGTTGAAGGGAACAAACTTTCAGCTATGAGTAAGTTCAAGAGATTTAATGGTAGACTGTAGTTAACAATATTGTATTGTATACTTGAAATTTACCAAGAGAGTATATTTTAAATGTTCTCACTATTGAGAAAATTGGTAACTGTATTGTGTGTGTTAGCTAACCTCATTGTGGTAAACATTTCATAGTGTTTAAATACATTAAATTATCAGGTTGCATGCCTTAAACTTATACAGTGTTATTTATCAATTTGATCTCAGGCAGGGATGGAGCTAGGGCTAGGGGGTGTCAAAGAGAAAAAAAAAAGTACTACAGATGATTCCTATTTCAAATAAAACTTACTGTTACAACATCAGGTTTTATATTATTAGCAATTGATTAGGTTCACAGAGCTAATGTGAAAACTTGACCTTGTGAACCAGAGAAATAAGCCTTGTTAGTTCCCTGTATTAGAGTGGGTATTCAGTAGATAAGCTTCTGATCCTGCTTCACGGTGATTTGAGCTTACCTCCACCTCTGCCTCAGAATAAAGCTGAGCATATGTAGTTCTGACATTATCCCTTCTAGAAGTAAATAGAATACAAATAAGCCGAGAGAGAGAGAGACTAGGAAAAATTATTAATGAAGTTGAATAGATACAGAATTGAAGCATGATGACAAATAGAGGTTTCTAAAATTAAAATCCCTCTATCAGGAATTACTTGGCTTTTTACTAAAACAAGAGGAAAGGTTGAGCTTAGCAGAGTAGAGAGGTACTTTAAAAGGCATCAGATTAGGATAATTATGTGTCCACCTATGGATACCTAGGTGGACACATAATTGTCTAATAGTATTTACAGTATAATGGTTGTTTATTTTAATCCTGATTTATTTATTTTCCATAGCCAAATCTTCTACCCTTTCAGCTTTATAATACTCTATTGAGTCTTTGTTTTTAAAAGCATATGCAAATTTTATTTGAATATATCATTTGATTATTGATATATTATTTCCTAATAAGTGGGCTTTCTTAAAAATCATTTTTATGTCCATTTTGATTCTTATCAGTAAAAAATTTTGCTTCTTTTTTATTTTAGAAGTTACAGTTTGTTCTTGTTCTTCTGAGGTGTTGGCCAAGTTTGTTCTTCATGCAGTACAACTTGTGAAGCAAAGAGCATATCGAAGCCATGAATTCTATAAGTTTTGTTCCCTTCCAGAAAAAGGAACACTGACTGAAGCTTTTCCTGTCTTAGTAAGTTTTAATTAATAGTTCAAAATCCTGAAACAATTTCTTTTCCTTTTTGGTGTGGACTAAGTATTTGAATTTTATTTTAAAGTTTATATTCAGAGTTTTGGGGGGCTCTTTATTTTGTTAACTGGAGGCCCATTGCATGATATTCATGCAAGAATATGCCTTCCTTTCCCTGGGGGGGTCTCCCAGCTGCCTGGGGGCCTGCAAGTTCTCGCTCCCGGCCAGAGCACTGCTGGTTCTATGCATCACTTAAGTTATTTTATTACTGCCCATGAAGTTAATTTGATTTCTAGGTGAAATCAGGTAGGCAGGCTGCTTCTTATAGAAAGCACTTCAAATATGGCAGGTCTCCATTCTTACCTATAGTGTTAGAAATAATGACTAGACCTCCTCCATGGAAAGTGAATGTACTGACGTTCAGTCTTGAACTTGCTCCATAGTTGGTCATATGATCCTTGCCGATAGCTTACTTTTCTGATTATTTTCACTTGTGTTCATGTATGTATCAGTGTTATGATTCACCTTTAAACTTTTTAATGTACTGAGAAAACATACTTTAAAACTGAGCACTAGGAAGTTTTTGTTTTTCATTATTTTAATGGGGAAAAATATAAGTAATCATGATTTCATTTTGTTTTTGTTGTGAGGCAGCTTGGAGCCTCAAATTCATCTATAGCTATTGATTATGCATTATAAAGCTGTAATACCCTTTCTCCTATCATTTTTCTTTTGATCCTAGGTTTTTATTCCAGTTTGTTTTCACCATTATTTTATTGTATATGTTTTCAAAAGCTGCCTCAGATCTTTTATGACAAGCAGTATAGGATTATCTATACTAATAAAAGGGCAATATGCTAATTAGACTGGGTCAACTGGCCATCTTCCAGATGTACGATATCCTTCTGGACAAAGCCATAGTGGTGGGAGCAGAGGCGGAGACAGTTAGGGATGATCGGGCTGGCAGAGGAGGGCAGTTGGGGGTCAAGATTAGGCTGGCAGGGTGTTAGGGGTGAGATCAAGCAAGCAAGCAGGCAGGGGCAGTTAGGAGCTATCAGGCAGGCAGGGGCAGTTAGGGGTGATCAGGCAGGTGAGCAGTTAGGAGCCAGTGGTCCCAGATTGCAAGAGAGATGTCCCCAATTGGAGAAAGTGGAGGCTGAGCTGAGGGACACCTCCTTCCCTCTTCCCCCCTCCCCCACCCTCCCTCCTGTTTGTTAATTTCATGCACTGGGCCACTAGTAAGTAAATAACTGTATGTATTTAAATGCCTGCACTATATCCCTGCAACTGTAATTTCCATAACTTCAAGCACAGTTAAAAGTTATTGTGTTTCTTTGCTTTACAAGTAGGAAAAGTTTGAAGGCAAAGAATTGCTTTGAAACATCTATTATTTATATTCTATAATTTGAAATAAAGAGAATATTGAGCATATGTAGTTCTGACATTATCTGAGATTATTTATATATTTGTAATTTATTTTTCTTTGCAGGGTGGGAAAGCAATTGAATTTTGCATTGCCCGTTGGTGGGCTAGTCTTAGTGATGTCAATATTGATTACACCATTTCTTTCCATGGAATAGTGTGTACCGCTCCTCAGTTAAACATTGTGAGTTCTGCATTTTCATTATTTTTAAAGTCATTTGTTTGTGTTATTGAAAAATAATCTTACTGGTTGGATTTACACTTCATTGGGGATATTACCAGTAGTTCTTAAAATAACCACAGGTAATTTAAAAGTAGTCCTATTCATGGGTGCTTATAAACTTTGCACTAGACATTTATTTTAAGTCTTAATGTTGTCATAAAATATTTTCAGTGAAGTTTGAGAAACTAATTTGATAAATATTCTTCATAGCATGCATCAGAAGGAATCAACCGTTTTGATGTTCAGTCCTCCTTGAAATATGAAGATCTGGCTCCCTGCATAACTTTGAAGAGCTGGGTCCAAACACTACGGTATCATTAAATGTTTTAGGGCTAAGGATGTTGAGTATTGATGTGGTGGGGGGCAGGAGGATCTTACACTCTTTGAAGAGTAGTAATTTTCTTAAATCCATCTGAATGTTGAAAATGAAAATTCAGTTTTTGACACTCTAGTCTCAGAATCGTGGCAGGTCTCTGAGTCAACCCCAGCAGTAGCTTCTAGCATTATGTAGCATGTAAAATTTTCAGTGCAGCCAGCAGGAACTGTCCTGCGAGGAGTGAGTACCACCAGCAGTCAAAACCTGTCCTTCACTCTGCTAGTAATTGCTACTCTAGCATCTAACATTGGGATCCAGTCACACTACAGACTATTAGTTGATATTTGAAAATGTTTTTATCATGAAAAGATTATCTTCATAATGTTGCAAAATTTAAACTATGATATGTATTGCTATGGTTCAGTCAGTAAATAATTAGTAAGTTAATGATTAAAATATAAAGTATACTGAAAAGGGTAGTATTTAGGAATGTGTATTTGCGCCTTATGATATGTTACAGATTTTGTTGATTATAGTTTTGTCTCATTAAATGAATTATTGAATCAAATAATTACTCATTGTCTAATTACAGCCCACAGAGTGCAAAAACAAAACCTTTAGGATCAAGAGATGTTTTGCCAAATAATCGTCAACTTTATGAAATGATCCTTACCTATAACTTTCATCAAGTAAGTATCTTTATAATAAAGTAGACTTTATTATAAGTATCTTTATAATAAAGTAGACTTTTACAGTACACTTTTGTGTTTTGTTAATGAATCATAAAATTTAAAACAGAAGGATGATAAATTTAGTATATGTAAATATGAAATAGAATCAAGTAACTAATAGTGCTTAATTTGGAATTATTCTTTGGGAAATTATGATTTATAATGACCTAAGTACCATTTAAGTCTGAAGTCACAAATTCTAGTTTGTGGTAACATGGCCTTTGAGCCTTAGTTTTTGTAATCACTGAATCTATTCACTGTACGGTATTACCTGTCCAGTGGTTAGGTGTCTCATCAATGCCCGATGCCTTCTGAGTATGGCAGTAGTTGGCCTGTTTGCTTTCTGTGAAGCAGGCTTTGGAGCAGAGAGACAATTCCTAGGTTGAATGAGTGATAAAGGTATTTGAGGCCAATATAAATGTTGGGTAAAAGAGTTTATGTAGGATCCATAGATTTCAGTAAAACTTACTGAAACATAATATTTGGTTTTCATATTTAGGAGATTGATTTCAATGAATATAAAATTTCAATTTTATAAAGAAAATATGTCAATTTATTAATGAATACGAATGGATAGGTTTGTATTTTTAAAAGTTTATACAAGATAAATACTTGTTATAAAGGCCAAAATACTGGATGTTCTACATTTAAAAAATTGGTTACCACCAGAAAAAATTTTCATCTAGGGGAAATGATGAATAACATAGACTGTGAGCAAGAACAGACCCAGAGACAAGAAGCCATGGATCAGACTGTTGGACCTCAGAGGATAGGATCCCCTCTCCCTCAAAGGATAGGGAGAGATCAACCAAAGGAGTTGTGTGCATGCATATGAGCCTAACCAGTGGTCAAGAACAATAGGGGGATGGGTACATGAGGGGAATAGGAAGAGGGGGGATGAGGACAAATATGTGATACCTTAATCAATAAAGAAATTTAAGAGAGAAAAAAATTTAATACTTTGATGTAAAAGTCTCAGTAGTAACAGTATTACAAATCTTCATTAGAAATCATGTGAACCACATCAAGTAGTAATTCTTTATTTTTATAGCCCAAAAGTGGGGAAGTAACTCCAAGCTGCCCACTACTTTGTGAATTATTATATGAATCAGAATTTGACAGCCAACTGTGGATCATCTTTGATCAGAATAAAAGACAGATGGGTTCAGGCGATGCCTATCCACATCAGGTATGAAATTTGCAGTGATTTTAAAATTAACAAATTCCTGATTTCTTGTTATTGTAATATTTGTGTTGTATTTTTTTATTTTTTTTTTAGAAGCTCAGTTGTCTGTTTTAGAACAGAATGGGACAACTTTTCAGCCATGTAGTTTAGCTGATTAAGTTTTGGGGTACACGAAGGCAAGGATGACTGGCCAGCCTAGTTTTTTATTTTTATTTTTTCTGCTTCCTACTCACTGCTTCCACTCATCTGAAGGTGGAAGGCAAATCTTCTGATACAAGTGAGCACATGGAAATGATCTTAGGTGTTAACTGGATAAAGAACACAATAGCAGTGTCCTAGAACTTTCAAATTTATCTTTTCATTGTACAGCTGTGTATTGAGCACTTCTGTATGCCAAGCGCTCTGCTTGCACTATTGTATTGATCATAAATTACAGAAATGTTATCCCTGACTGAAATATTGTTACAAGGAAATAAGGTAAATCTTGTAACATTTATGATTTAACACTAAACTAGAGGCCTGGTGCACGAAATTCGTGCATGAGCAGCAGGGGAGGGGGTTCCCTCATCCCAGCCTGCACCTCTCCAATCTGGGACCCCTTGAGGAATGTCCGACTGCCCATTTAGGCCCAATCCCACATAAACAGGCAGTCGGACATCATCCCCACAATCCAGGATTACTGGCTCCCAACTGCTCGCCTGCCTGCCTTCCTGATTGCCCCTAACCGCTTCTGCCTGCCAGCCTGATCACCCCCTAACCACTCCACTGCCAGCCTGATTGATGTCTAACTGTTCCTCTGTCAGCCTGTTTGCCCCCAACTTCCCACCTCTGCTGGCCTGGTCACTCCTGTCCTCCCCTGCAGGGTTGATCGCCCCCAACTGCCCTCCCTTGCATGCCAGGTCCCTCCCAACTGCCCTTCTCTGCTGCTGGCCATCTTGTGGTAGTCATCTTGTGTCCACGGGGGGCGGGGGGAGATATTTGACCACTTGGAGGCAGCCATCTTATGTGTTGGAGTGATGGTCAATCTGCATGTTACTCTTTTATTAGATAGGATTTATCTTCTACAATTAAAACTTTGTAGCCTGGAGTGGAGCCAAGCCTCCTGTTAGCTCCTTGAGGGCAGCCATTTCTGTTGGAATTTATGTATCTTCTAAAATTGAAACTTTGTAGCCTGGCGTGAAGGGCTGAGCTGGCCAGGGATTCACAAGTTTGGCTTCCTCTAGCACCCCAGGCATCTTGGTTGGGATTAATTTGCATACTCATTCTGATTGGATGGTGGGCATGGCTGGTGTGTGTTAATTTGCATATTATTAGATAGGATAATAATAACATATGCAGATAGGTTTTTTTGGTTAGTCATTCAAGGAATGATTTCCTTTTGTTCTCAAAGCAAGCCCCAGTCACATCTCTCCCAGTAGAGACTGTATTGTTGCAGAGCCATCACTTTGGTTGCTTTTAAAATCTCATCAAGAATGCAGGTTAACTAGGTGGAGCATAGTAAATTTTATTGCTTAATCTCTGCTTCTATCAGCAATAAAGTGATGTGGTGTTTTGGTTATAATAGAAAGATTAGCAGTCATGTATATACACATGTGTGTATATCTGCCTTAGATATTATATGGCACCTCAATTTTGCTAATTTTGTGTGTTGTTTTATAAATTCTTGAGTAACTATGAACTAGAAAATAATAGCTTTTCTCAGCCTGGAACAGATTGCTGTAGCTGAAACTATGGGAGTAACCTGTAGTTGTAAGAATGAGGGCTTGGGAGTCAGACCTGCCTTCAGCTCCCTTATTCTTCACTACTCTATATGTGACCTTAGACAGTTCACTGATGTCCCTGGTCCTGCTTGCTCACATGCAAGATTGAAATTTTGTGTGTATGTAAAAGTGTGTGTGTAGTAGCTTATGTTGTACCTCATCTGCTGTTAAGCACTCTAAGTTGTAACTGTTTCTGTTTATCTTCTTTCTATAATTTCTGTTTACTTGGCCTAACTTTACTTTTTGTAAATGTTGTTTTCTTTTAGTATTCGATGAAACTGGAGAAAGGAGATTATACAATTCGTCTACAGATTCGTCATGAGCAAATCAGTGATTTGGAACGTCTTAAAGATCTTCCATTTATTGTTTCTCATAGGTTGTCTAATACCTTGAGCTTAGATATTCATGAAAATCATAGCCTTGCACTTCTAGGAAAAAAGAAATCAAGTAATTTGACACTACCACCCAAATATAACCAGCCATTCTTTGTTACTTCCTTACCTGATGACAAGTAAGTGGTGGTGTTGCTTATATTTAATGCCTGCCTTACACACTGTATTCTATTAATGTTAGTTCATTACCTTAGGCTAAAGTTTTAGTATGTTGTGATTTACCATTTTATATTAAGGTTACCGGTATTTGTCCCTTTGATTTTAGAAATCTTGGCTATGAAAATTATTTCAGAATGTAATCATTTTGTCCCCCTCCCCCCACTCCTAATTATCTTCATGAAACGTTCTCATTTTTCTCTCTCTCTCTTAAATCTTCTTGTTAGAATACCTAAAGGGGCAGGACCTGGATGCTACCTTGCAGGAACCTTAACATTGTCAAAGACTGATCTTGGAAAGAAAGCGGTAAGTACAAGTTTTGTGTGTGTGTGTGTTGTGAGGGACGGGTTTTAACACTGAAATTACGCATTCTAAAATTTCCTTATCTTTAAAGATGAATTCCACATTTCAGAATGGGTAAAAAAGAAGATCTCCCTAGCCAAAATATGTATAATTTTTCCTCCAAGTTACTAGTAGAGATCAATTAGTATTTTTTTGTATTTTAAAATATTTAGTATTCTTTTTTGCAGGTATAAGTTACTCTGGCCCTGAATCTGTCCTACCTTGCATGGCTGATATACTTGACTTTTCCATCAAGTCAAACTTGTATGTGACTTACTTGGCTTAAATGAATGATTGGCTTCTAAAAACTAGTCAGAACAATTGCTAATTAACGATATTTTTCACACTGTACAGACCTTTCTCTTGTTGAAATTTTACATAATTATGTTGTACAAGATATTTCTTTTGGCATTGACTTTTATTTTGGAGTTTCAAAATTATGGGATTTTTTTTGTTAAAAACAAAAGGAATATAGTTTGATAAGTAACTCTTAGCTTTTCTGTCTTTTCATTACAAATTTATTATGAGAGAAGTGTATATAGCTTTGTCACCTTTTTTCATATCATTTTAGCTCAGTGCTAGTAAACGTTGTCATTGTTATAATTTTGTATTTCTCTTCAGCATTAATTAGTTCTTATAAGCTAAGCCTACTATCTAATGCTGAAATCTAGAAATGCTGTTATCAAATGAATAGATCTCATATATTAACAAGCACTCTTATTTCTTGTCACTTGAGTCAAAAACCATTTATTTGCTGTCATAGAGGCATAACTTGGGAATTTTGTGCTTAGGAAAAGTTGTTTTCCCTGATATTTCTTGAGTTTCATTTCAGTTTATACTATTTATTATATATTCTTTAATTTGAAGTGAATGAGTAGTTAATTGTACTGGAATTCATGGATGCACTGATTTAAGAACTAGTAGTCTTTTCTCATAGACATCATTTCCTGGGTAGTGTGGCCACTTCCTCCATGGGGCTTCAACAGTGAGGCTTCAGTGATGATGTTGTAACTCTTCTGAAGTGTCCACTTCCTTGTGATGAGTATGACAGAAGAGCATTGTTATTAAATGTATGCTTTTTAGCAATTCAGAGATAGTTGCTACTTCCTGACTGCAGTTGTGAAAATATAAACATCTGGATTAACTCTAGTTATTACTTACCAGGGTAGATGTTCTTGAGAGATAGCAAAAAACTAAAATTAATTACATTTTCCAGCACATTTTTTATTTATTACTCTTCCCTCAGTAGTTTTGCATTTTTTAATGATTTTTGGTAGTTGGGAAGGTTAATTTTACTTCTCTTTGATCTATGAGAGCATGGGTGTATGTGATTTTGTGATGTCCTTAAAAATCAGACTCTGTAGACTGTCAGCTAAATTTAATACTTCCAAAAGTGTTTTGATAACTAATGGATTCTGCTCTACTGAATTTTTGAAATAAGTTGAAAAACATTCGCCCTTAAGAATATCATTTCAGTGCGTTTTTATTTAAAAAAAAAATCAAAGTGACAATGTTGCTTTATTTAAAAGCATGCCATCTTGATCACAGACTTGACCCTTTTAAGTATGTGACACATACAGGTGAAAAGTAAACTGGGAGAAAATTATACAGAGGTGGTGTCTCCATCCTGTGTAGATGATGCATGTTTTCTTACAGAATGTTGTTCTAACTCCCAGGGGCAGTCTGCAGCAAAACGACAAAGAAAATTTAAAAAGGTACTGATTGTCAGTTTTTTAAAAAGATGTCTTAAAGCCTTATTTGCATATTAGCTAAACTTTTTTCTGTCACTATTATAAATCCTTTTTTTAAAAAATCTCTCCATTAATCTTTAAGTTCTGCAGTATAGTGCCTTTAGCTTATCAGTGTTGACATACTGCTTTCCTAAAGTTACTTCTCTACCATAAATTGCTAGAGGACCCCTGTTTTATAAGTATATAGTGGAAAATAATGCTATGTATTTCTTACTACAGATAAATAATAATATTTTAAATTTTGCATATCTAAAATCTTATGTAGAGAGAAATGAAACTTTTCAGTTATGTAGGCCAAACAATTATTTTTAAAGTATAAAAAGCATTCTTAAATTAGATGATTTGATTAAAAATATTATTAAGATATTTCAAGTGAAGTTGATTCCTTGCTCTTGCATCTTCTTAGTTCTTAAAGGGCAGAGACAAACAGAGCAATGGACAAAGCAGAACAGAAATAAGGACTGTTGACCCAAAATTAAAACTTATACTAAGAGCATAAAGCAGATTTTCAGGCCATAACTAGTAAGTAATCTGATTAACTTTCTGCAACTTATTTGACAATCTCTGATTGACTACTAGAATCAACGTTAACTCAAAAAAAGAAAATTCTACTTAAAGTGAGAAAGAATTACATATTCATTGAGCTCTCTGGTGAAAACCTGCTGACATCATTTAGCATTTAGTGATTTTTCCCATTCAAGCTGGAAGCATTTCAGTGGGAGAATTAGTACTAACAAGTACACTACCGATAATCACCTTTCCAGATTTTTTTTTTTTAATGTGCTTCTCTATTGATCAGTATTTCTCAACTGAGATTCTTAATCATTTTGGAGGCCATATTATTCATTTAATGAAACATCACCAGCATTAAAACAGAAACAGAATAAAGTAGGGAATGTATGTCAGTTCACAAGACTGATAAAACTAATTTCATTTTATCTATAGATTGTTTATCTTTGGGTAAGTGTGAAAATAGATTATAAGCCATTGTTTTAGAGAATAAGGAAAAGGTATTCCTAGGAGCCCAGTAAAAACAGAAGATACATATCACAAAGGCATAGATTTTTTTTCTTCTTCCTGTTGTATCTTTTGGTTAAATTTTGGGGGAGTTTTGATGGGATTTTGTTTGGATTAGGGTATGAATAGAAAACTATCAAATAAATAGAAATTTTATTATTACTTGATGGTTAGTAAAGTTTTGCATAAAGAACTTGACAGTTAGAGTTACCTCTTCCCATTTCTTCATTGCAAGTATCCAGGAAGCTCTGATTTTAAAAATAATTAGTATTATTTTTTATTAGAGGCCCAGTGCATGAAATTCATGCACAGAGGCAGGGGTATCCCTCAGCTCAGCCTGCACCCTCTCCAATCTGGGACCTCTCAAGGGATATCCAACTGCCGGTTTAGGCCCGATCCTACGGGAATTAGGCCTAAATGGGCAGTCGGACATCCCTCTCACAATCCAGGACTGCTGGCTCCCACTGCTCCCCTGCCAGTCTGTTTGCCCCTAACTACTCTCCCCTACAGGCCTGGTTTCCCCCAAATGCCTTTCCCTGCAGGACCTGTCACCCCAACTTCCCTCCTCTGCCAGCCTGGTCATCCCAAACTGCCCTTCCCTGTAGGCTTGATCACCCCAACTGCCCTCCCTTGCAGGCCTGGTCTCTCCCAACTACCCTCCCCTGCTGGCCATCTTCTGGTGGCCATCCTGTGTCCATATGGGGGCAGTTCATTTTTGATCACATGGGACAGCCATCTTTTGTGTTGGAGTGATGGTCAATTTGCATATTACTCTTTTATTAGATAGGATAGTCACAATACCAAAATATATTATTAACTTATAGCCTGAAAAAATATACCAGCTAGGTTTTTCTGTGGACTTTTTCTTTGGGTTTCAATGATCTTTGACTTAAAATGTGTTACACTTTTTTAAGCTCATTGTAATATGAAAGAATATAATTACTTTAACAGATCATAAATAGAATTCAAATATACTAATCTTTAAAGTAGCTATATTAGTTTGTGTGAATGTATTACAATTTTGAATTTAGTTAATAATTTAAGAACTAAGGAAATTGGTTTTTCACTCCAAATTTTAATGATGATATGCTTTATCACCGAAAGAATAGTTACTGATTATGTGGGTAAGTTTGACTTTCTAAATAATACTGTTCAGTTCAAACACTGAAATACTTTGTGAACAAAATAGTAAATACATGTAAATAAACCCAAAAACTTACTGTTAAGTATCCACAATAGAGCACTTTAACATTCCTGCTCTGAAGATTCTTCTTGACTTTGTTTTAAAATTATAATACTTCTCAAGGTTTGCTGGTACAGATTTACTGGTACAGAATCATTTTTATTAAATTGACCCCATGCTAGTTCCTTAGAACCAAGTTGTAAAATACTACCAAAAAGAACAGATGACCATGAATAAGCAAATGAAAAGAAACCTCATTTTCTTTTGATTAAGAATTAAAACTACCATGTTTATAATTCTTAGTAATAAAAATTCTTGTCCTGATATACTTTATAGGATTATATATTAACATTTCTAATTTCTAATTTGATATATTTAAAAATATAAAAGGCTGATTACAAAACCTTGATCTCCGCCCCTCCCTTCCCCCAAGATCATTCATCATAAACTTTCCCTGTCTCTTTTGTGCTTTTAGTGATAGTGTATGGTTGTTGTGATAAAGGGTTTTTCCTGTTTGTAGATCTTTGTTAAGTTTATTGTTAATCATAAATTATCTTTAATGGATTGCTCATTTTAAATTCAGTTCTATTTTATTTCTGCTGTGCTAAAAGAAATACCTTTCCTCTGAGCTTCAGAGGAGGAATTGCCTCACAATAGAGGCTTCCCCTCTAGAAGTTCCTGTCTCCCTAATCAGGCAAGGAGGAAGGAAAACAAAAGGAGCTCTTGTTAGGTTAGAGTGAATGTGGACTGCCTCTTGCAGAAGCACGACCTCAAAGAGAATAGGGGAGTAATGTTGGAGGCCATTTGTAACTTTAATTCTTAGTTTGCTGTCTTTGTTATACAGATGACACTGAGGCAATCTGTTTGGATAAGAACTTGGTGGTAAATCATCAACTCAAATTTTGCAGAAACTTTAGCTTGGCCTTGCCCAGGGCAGTGCCCCTGAAAGAGAATGAACCTCAAGAAGGAGAAAAGAGTGGGTGGCAGGGTCTAGAAGAAGCTAGCCCCAGCAAAATACTGCTTTCTTTTCCCTCTGTTATACTTCACATAGATCTTTACATGCAGGCTATGGGCCTCTGGGTTGTAGGGGGGTTAAGGGGAGGAAAGGGAGAGAGAGAGAGACCGAGACCTAAATGGCTAAAAATGGATTTGTGTGGTTATTTTCCATCATTGGTTTTCTGCACTTAAAATTAGTTATATTGAAATAGTAATTTTATGGTGGGATACTGTTTTAACAACTATAATAATAGTTCCTTATATTATTATTACAATTATATCCCAAAATAAAGTTTAATTGTGAAACATTTAAAATGGCCATATTTATGTAGTATTTACAGCTACAATTTCTATTTTGGGGAAGGGGGGGCTTGCAATACTATTTTTTTAAACTCTATCTAAAGGTTTTTCTGGTGACTGTGATTAGAGTAGTAAAAGTCTGTTTGGTAATACAGCTTTTTCTCATTTTAGAAGTTTTGAAAATTAAAACATATAAGAATTTATTTTAATTTGGTGTTTTTTTAATGTAAATCTGAAGACAGAATTTGAGAAATTGACAATAAATAATGGGGAAAAATGAAAATAAATAATGATTCATTAAGGACACCTAGTTATTGTGCTAAAAATAGACTAGTAAATACAAGAAATTATTTGATTTTCTAGATAATGCAATATTTTTCATAAATAGAGATGGAATACATATTTGATAAAATAGATGGAAATACATGTAATTGGATATAATTACTACATTTCTCTGCTCTTTACAGAGAAGAACTTTTCAAAAGACCTATCATACTTCTTACTTGATTTCTCTTTATCTTTTTTGGTCAGCCTTTACTGTCCACTGAAACTGGTGTTGTCATGGTGATTGGTAGCCACTGGCACCAGGCTTTCTAGTTATTTCATTTTCCTATATTACATCATCTCTCAGCTATAGCCTTCAGTTGACCTCTTCCTCTTTCTTTATTCTGGCTATTCTCAGGGCTGCCAAGGCCTCAGATTATCTTTGTGTTCTGTCTTTCCCCTTCCTCCCTTCCCTCTTTTTTCATTCAAGGCCAGTGTTGGGATGCCTAGGTTTGCTTACCAACTTGCTTTTCCTTTTTCTACTTTTGTCCTCTATCGTCCAGAACCAAAACTTTTTTTTAAAACATATTTTATTGATTTTTTACAGAGAGGACGACAGAGGGATAGAGAGTTAGAAACATTGATGAGAGAGAATCATCAATCAGCTGCCTCCTGCACACCCCCCACTGGGGATGTGCCTGCAACCACGGTACATGCCCCTGACCGGAATCGAACCTGGAACCCTTCAGTCCGCAGGCTGACGCTCTATCCACTGAGCCAAACCAGTTTCGGCCAGAACAAAAACTTTAAATTCATACAGGATTCAGTTATTAAGCAAAAGGCAAAAATTTTAATAATTTCATCACCTTGCATAAAACTCTTCTGGTAGACTTCCTTTTGTACTTAGAATAAAGTCTGGATGTTCTCCCCCCCATATTTTATCAACCTTAGTTAATGTGGTCACTGCCCATTTGCTCAGTACATATAGCTGTGCTTCCCAGATACCAAGCTCTGGTTTTTGCACATGCTCATCATCTACCTTCAAACACTTTCCCTCTCGTTTATTTGAAGTTCTTTTTTTAGGTCATTCAGGTTCAGTTAGGTTGGATGACACCTCTTTGGAGTGGCTTTCTATAACCACTTTGTCTACAGTGGTTCCACACCTTACCTAGCAGTCTTATCTTCTTCATGTCATGTGAAAATCTGCTATGTATTTATTTGCATGTTTGTTGTTTATCTTCCCCTACTAGAATATATGCTTCCTGAGGGTGAGAAAGGGCCTTGTCTCTTTGTTCTTAACACTCAGAGCATTCCCTGGCCCAGTGCTCCATAAGTCCTGTTAACTGAATGAAGAAATGTATTTTTCTTTAAATTTACTTACAGAAAAAGGAGGATCTTTTGTTGTTGTTGTTGTTATTCTTATTTTCTCCTCTTCTCAGATATAAAATGTGCAAGGCTCAGTATACTTTTATAATTAGTCAAGTAAAACTAAGAATACCAAATACATTCATACAGAGAAAAATTTATTTTTACCTCCCTTATTTAAAGGAGATAATAGAAGCATTGGTACTTTAAAGTTGGGGAGAAAATTGCTTTGATCACATATTGGAATTTCTTATGTATTATGATGCAGTAGAGCAAGCGTGTCAAACTCACAGGCTAACACGGGCCAGATAAACAGGGTTTTAGTTTATGTGGGCTGCAAAAAACAAAAGCTTCAACTTGCATAGAAACATAGGTTTATTTTGATAGAGACATGCTGAATACAAAGGGCTGAAATAAATTAGTAATCGTTAATACAAAATAATAGAACATTTTCATAAAAATTAATATCTTTCTTGAACATTAACTTACCAGACACTGAATAACTTGCACAGATTAATAATCATAATGCAAATAAACCTATTTTTCTTGTTCTCTTGAAGTGAAATATTTCCTGTTGCACACACCAAATAAGTCAGTCCAAGACTAATGCAGCTGCTAAAATATTTGCTGCTAGTATTAGTGGGGAGAAATGGTGCGCCTGTGTGTAAGGCACTTAAGGGAAATGAATGCTACGTGATTTTAGTAATCAGTCATTAGCAAATATTATAGTTTGTTATTAATAATTATGTATAATAGGATATTTTAAAAATTAAAGTTATAAAATTTTTATTTAAATGTTTCTTTCATACTGTTTTCTTGGCTGGGCCACAAAAGTGTGTGTGTTGTGGGCCACATGGGGCCCGTGGGCTGTGAGGTTGACATGCTTGTATTGGAGTCTGGGCTACAGTGTGGTACAACTCCTTGTTATGAAATATTTAGCTCTTAAATGTGATTTTAAAATATGTAAAATTATGAATGTTAATTTAAAACTCTCTTTTCACACTTATAGGATGTAATCCCTGTTCATTACTATCTAATAACTCCACCAACAAAAGCTAAGAATGGCAGCAAAGATAAAGAAAAAGATTTAGAAAAAGACAAAGATTTCAAAGAAGAGTTTTCTGAAGCATTACGAGATCTTAAAATTCAGTGGATGACAAAGTAAGTTTTTAATGGATTTTAATGCTCTAAGAGTTTACTTTTATAATAATATTATGTGTATATGCTATATTCAAAAAATGTTAGCAGTAGATAGGATTACAGAGTACTTTTAATTTTTCTTATAATTATATTTATTATAGAATTCTCTTGTGATAAGAATCTTTTAAATTTTTATGTTAGTCTCTTATTTTGATGTACTCTTAGAAGAGAATTTTATTGGAAGGTTGAAAAAGAAAATAAAAGCATGGAACAGACAGATCTAACAGAGAAGGGGGGACAGGAAGAGATTCACCAAAGAATTTATATGTATATGTGCATAACCCCAAGGGTATAGGCAGTGCAGGCCTGGGGCAGGGCGACAGCCAGGAGGAGGGATGCAGTGGGGAGGGATGGGAGACATCTATAATACTCCCAGCAATAAAAAGAAAAATCACTTTTTCCATTCTCCAAAGATAATCAGTGTGCTAGTATTATTTACCTCTTATTTATACATGTAGCAGTATAAATGTTATTGATGTATACTAGTTTTCTAATTACCGTTTTATATGACTATTTTCTATGTCATTTAATAGTCCTTTAAAATGCCTTTTTTTCCCCCAAATTTTTTCCAGTTTAAGTTAAAGGGGAAAAAAAGTTTATCCATTTCTCCCACTCCCACTCTGCTTTTGGCAAATACCAACTGTTCTCTGTATTTATGTGCTTGATTTTGTTTTCTTTGGATAAATACAAAGAAGTGGAATTGCTGGATCATATGGTAGTTCTATTTTTAATTTTTGAGAAACCTCCATACTATTTAAATGGAAGCCTTATGTTATTGATTGGAACTTTAAAATAATGTTCAAAAATAGGAAATATGGAAATTTTCTTTCTAAAAGAAATGAAATAATGATTTTTCTTTCTTTTGTATGTAGGCTGGATTCTAGCGACATTTTTAATGAGTTGAAAGAAACATATCCTACTTATCTTCCTCTGTATGTTGCACGACTTCATCAGTTGGATTCTGAAAAGGTTGGGGCTGTTCATCTTTAATATGAGTATCTTATTTCGTTTGTAATATTAAGTAAGGTTTGTGTTTTGAATTAAAAGACAAACTTATATTTATCTTCTATTCTTGCTGACTGAAAATGTGTTTCCTTAAGTTGACTGTTCCATTAAGCTGTTTTCATTTAAGCTAAGTAATGAACCTGGCCATTACCATAAGTTTAGGAGTAGTAATAGTAGTTAAGATACTCTGAGGATTTCTTTTCTGGCATTAACCTAAAGGGCAAGGAACAGAAGGCAACGGTCCTAACCTGCTGCAAATACTAGTATCTTCAGTAAAAGAAGCACCCCTTACTTTGCATTAAGTTTGTTTACAGTTCTTGCTTTTAAGAAATAGCTATAATTTCATACTTTTTTAACATGGCCAGCTCTCATTAGTAATCATGCTAGTAGGAATAAGCTAGCCATAATCATTTAAAAATTATCAAGGGTTTAGAGTGAACTAGAAAGTGTTAAAAGGAGACTAAAAGACAAACAGGAGAGAAGCAGAATGCTAAGAACACCATGAATAATCGTAAACTTGTTTCATCAGCTAGTGCTTTTTTTACTCCTGTTTTTATGTGGCAGGTGGCATGGGACTGAAGTAAATAGCCAATCTTAAATATTTAAGATATCCAGAAAAGGAGTTGCCTTTATGAAAATACTTTACATATTTATGACATTTATCTTTTGCTTACTCTCACCATTTAAGGCCAGTGGGGAGTGTAAATTAGGTATTTTCTTGTCTAAGTTCAGCTTTTGAAGAGATGCTGACAGTTACAAATATCCCGGTAGGAATGCAGAGCCCCTGGGCTGCATGTGGACTTTATAGTCCCCTCCAACTGGAGGTTAGCCAGCAAACATGAAATGCTTCAATATTCTCATTGATAAATCCTTTTTTTTCCCTCTCTTCCTTATTCCTTTTTTCCTTTCCAGGAACGAATGAAAAGACTTAATGAAATTGTTGAAGCTGCAAATGCTGTTATTTCTCATATAGATCAAACGGCCCTAGCAGTTTATATTGCTATGAAGACTGATCCCAGGCCTGATGCAGCTACTATAAAAAAGTACCTAACCAGTAAATAATCTTTCTTGCATCTCATTTCTTACTAATAGGGATTGATATTATTGAGAATATTTCTTGGTATTTATTATATCCTTATAACTAATGAGTTGTCAAGATTTAGATACTCCTCCTTAGAGTATCTTTATCATTTTAAGATGAAGCAGAAGAAAAGCTGTTTGCTTTCTTTACCCTTAGATGCAATCCTGGTAGAGATTTGTTACATCAGAAGAAGATAAAGATACCTGCCCTGGAGCAAGGCAGTTTACCTTAAGTGATTCAGAGTAAGGATTCCAGGAAAAGACTTAAGTAGCTTAGAATCCTGGATCTATCTCTCTAATTGTAGGACCTTGAACAAACTTAATCTCTTTTTGTTTCAGTTTTCCCCTTTGCAAAATGGGGGTAATTAATAATATCTCATTTATAGAATTGTTTTGAGTATAAAATGGTAAAAGAGTTCCTGGCACATTCGGAGTAAACATTATATTTGTTTTCTGATGGCATTCTTTTTCAACCAAGTCTAGCTTTTCTAACCCATTTATCCTGTGAAAAAGTAGTGGCTCATTGGATGTTTATTAGACATTTTATTTGATGTACAATATAAATGTAAATACATAGTTACTTATTAACATCTCTGCATTATAAATATTAAGCAAAAATGCATGAGTTTAATTCAGATAAGGCTGTACTTTAAAAGAAATTTTACTTATCCTGTGAAATGTATTTTGATTTGGTGTGCAGTGATATGGACAAACAAAAATCCACCCTCGTAGATGCCCTGTGTAGAAAAGGATGTGCCCTAGCTGACCTGCTTCTTCAAGCACAGGATCAAGATGGGGCTGTTTCAAATGATGCGGAAGGAAGAGAAGAAGAAGGTGAAAGTACTTTGGATTCTCTGACGGAAACTTTTTGGGAAACTACAAAATGGACTGATCTTTTTGACAATAAGGTAACCTTTCTGCTGCTTTTTGTACAGTTTTTGGTCACAGATTTATCTTGTGCCCCTTTGCTTACTGGTTACTGTTTCCCAGTTACTGGCCAGAAGAAGAAAAGAATAAATGTAGTGAGTCTAAGCTTGGCTCTGAAGAAGATGTGTTTAGCACTACCTATTTGTCATATCTGTTTTTTTTTTTATATATATATTTTATTGATTTTTTACAGAGAGGAAGATAGAGAGATAGAGAGCTAGAAACATCGATGAGAGAGAAATATCAACCAGCTGCCTCCTGCACACCCCCACCGGGGATATACCCACAACCAATGTACATGCCCTTGACCAGAATCGACCTGGGAGCTTTCAGTCCGCAGACTGATGCTCTATCCACTGAGCCAAACCGGTTTCGGCTCATATCTGTTTAAAACAATTTTTACTGTTATTTTATCTGTCTGCAAAGTGGCTATTAAGTTTGGAAAACAGTTTGAGAACGTATGTAGTAGTATTCTCTTGGTTAATTTAGCTAGTTATGTATGAAACTAAAATGAAAAATATCTTTTAGAAAGTGTCTTCATGCCTTCCCACATGTTTAGGGTGTCCCAAAAATGTACATATACACTTTGTATAACTATAAAGGCAGTATTTATTAAAATACATTAAATTTTCAAAGTTGAACTATCAGCTACTAAAGTGTGTATACATTTTTTGGGACACCCTGTATTTATGTGCTAATTTGTCAGGGATTGGAGAGTGGAGTGGTATCCTGGTTGATTTAGATATTATTTTTCTCCAAACTCTGAAACTTATAGTTATCACCTTGATATATAGCTGATCAATTTTAAAACCCAGGTCAGTACAAATAACATTGACAAATGTTTGGGTTTGGGTTATAAAAATGTTCTTAAGTCCTTTTAACTCTCTACTATAACTCTTATAGTAGAGATTATGTAACTACAATTTTTGTCAACCTTTTCTCTGGAGATAAAAAAAAAACAAAATCAGTGGAATTCTACTTAACACAAAAATTGTTTTGTTTCAGTAGATAGGTGCTTATTTTTAAGATGAACTATGGTAATTTCTAAGAAACACTATTGCAAGTAGAGGAAAAATTCTTCCTGTATGCTTCAGATTTCCCCCCACAGCACAGTAGTGCATATGTAGGAGGAACTCAGTTATATTGAGGAAACTGTACCAGCGATTAAGAATTTGCATCTGAGCCCAGCCAGCGTAGCTCAGTGGTTGAGTGCCAACCTATGAACCAGGAGATTATAGTTCAATTCCTAGGCACATGCCCAGGTTGTGGGCTCGATCCCCAGTGGGGCTTGCAGGAGGCAGCCAATCAATGATTCTCTCATCATTGATGTTTCTATCTTTCTCCTTTCCTTTCTGAAATCAATAAAAATATATTTATAAAAAAAAAAAAAAAAAGAATTTGGATCTGAAATTTGACCCCTTGAGTTTGAATCCTGCTTCTTCTACTTTTATCTGTGTGAACTTTATTCTGATGTCTCAAGTTTCTCACCTATTGAGGATAGTGAATGACACTACCTACCATAGGCTTTTTTGAATGAGTATAGAGTACACAGGAGGACCTGTTGCAGGGAAAACTGGGAAAAGACAAATAAGCTATGGGTCTAAAAGAAAGTTGATGAACATCATTTAAAATTATTAAAAATAATTCTATTTTTTCTGTAAAACTACTGTATTAGGGGCCATACATTATTATTACCTGGCTATTTACATTCAGAGTTAAACAACATTTTACTTGGCTTTAGAATACAAATAAATGCGACAGGGTTTCTTTATTTAACAATGTTCTCACATTCTAAAAGTAGAGACCAAAGAAGTAAATAAATGGTTACAAGTATATTTGACAGATATCATAGTTAAAGGTACAAAACTTGTATAAAAGTCTGTTAGTGGAAAGTTTATATAATTAATACTTTTACCCTCTTTTATAATTTTGATAATTTATAACTGTACTTTGTACTTCTGTCATAATTTGCATTTTTGCAGTCATTTCGGTTAGCCCTGCTTTCTTTTTCATGCAGGGGTATTTTGGTATGGATTTCAACAACGAGTGAATTTATTGTAAAAAATTTCTTCCTTAAGATAAATGATCTGTTCTGTGGGATACTCACCTCTTTTGAAGATATTGGGTTTTTTTTATTTTTATTATTATGTTTTAAATATTTATATTTTCATTGATTTCAGAGAGAAAGAGAGAGGGGGAGAAAAAGGTAGAAACATCATTGATGAGAGAGAATCACTGATTGGGTGCCTCCTGAACATATCCCACTGGGGATCGAGGCCACAACCCAGACTTGTGCCCCAGACTGGAATCAAACCCAGGACCCTTCAGTCCACAGGCCACCACTCTATCCACTGAGCCAAACCAGCCAGGGCAAAATTGTTGTTTTAAAATTTTTTTGAAATTTACTTGATATAACATGTTTATTTTAAAAGCTATACTTCCGTAAAAGCCTTAATTTTTCATTATTAAAGCTGTATGCCTTAAAATATTAAATATTTCCTAGATAAGCTTTATCTTACTTTACATTACAGGTGTTGACATTTGCATACAAGCATGCATTAGTAAATAAAATGTATGGGAGAGGCCTTAAATTTGCAACTAAACTTGCGGAAGAAAAACCAACAAAAGAAAACTGGAAAAATTGTATTCAAGTAAGTGATATTTCAGTTGTCACCATAAGGGTCACTTCTATACTGCATAGTGACAAGATAGCCTCATGGTAGCGATATAACAGTACTGACTTTATCATGAATAATAGTTAATGTAATTTGAACAATAAAATAAATACATAAAAAGCTATTTAAAGCCACTGTATTATTTTACCACATATTGTACTATAACGAATGAAGTTCTGTGGTTGTCCTTTTTAAGAAGTAAATTGTCAAATATAAAAACTTAATGAATTCCACAGATATTTATTACTAGAGTCCTGGTGCACAAAATTCATGCATGCGGGCGGGGGTGGGAGGTTCCCTCATCCCAGCCTATGCCCTCTCTCAGTCCAGGAGCCCTTGGGGGATGCCCAACAGTTAGACATCTTTAGCGCTGCTGCAGAGACAGGAGAGGCTTTCACTACCACCACTGCACTTGCCAGCCGGGAGCCCGGCTTCTGGCTGAGGGGTGCTCCCCCTGTGGGACTGCACCAACCATCAGGGGCAGCTCCTGTGTTGAGTGGAATTGAGCCAAAACTGGCTCTCTGACATCCCCTGAGGGGTCCTGATTTCGAAAGGGTGCAGGTCAGGGAGGAATACAGGAGGTTGGCCAGCTGGGGAGCGACCACAGGAGGGCTCCCAGGTGTGTCTGGCCTGTCTTGCTGAATCCCCATCGGCCAGGACAGCAAGCTCACCTACAGGACAGAGTGTCTGCCCCCTGGTGGTCAGTCATCTGTCATAGCGGGTGTTTGAGCAGCCTTAGCATATCATTAGTATATTACACTTTGGTTGAATGGACATCCAGATGACCAGATACTTAGTATATCAGCCTTTTATTATATAGTATATCCTGACCTTGTCTTTTGATACATAATTGGTTTATGCCTAAAGAATAAAGGGAGGTTGGGGAATGTTGGTTATGTGGTCAAGGGTCTGCTCTTTATATTTAAGGTATTCTTTGGATGTAAAACTGACCAGTAAGTTCCTATGGAAATTTTTTACTAAACTATAGATTATCTTTATTCTTAGACCTTTTTTATGTATCTTTACCAGTTAGTTTAAATTGTATGACATTTTAAATTAGCTCCTTCAGATCTCTGGATAGGTTAAGAGAACTCTTTCTAGAATTAATTGTTAGTAGGTCTAGTCACATCATGTAGGCTATACTCTGCAAACATTTGTGAAGCCAGTGATCCACCCAGACATTGATTTTAGGGGTGTTTTGTAACTTGTCTTCCCTCCACTCTGCTTCCTTGTTTGTTTTTCAGTTAGCAACCAGAAATATTGGCTTTGACACCTACTGGTGAATCTCCATTACATTTAAAATTAAATCTAAACTCCTCACTGTGCCCTGTAAGGTCTTGTGTAATCTGGCTTCTGCATTCCGTTCTAGCCAGATCTCAGATCACACTATTCACTCTGCTTTTGCCACAATAGCCTCATTTCTGCTTGGGTAAAATCCTTGGCCATACCCTGTCCGCAAGGAAACCTAACTATTCCAGCTGTGCATAAAGCTTTTCCTCAGATTGACGCAGTACATTCAGGTTTCAACTTACATGTTACCTCATAAGAGATCTCTTTCTTGACCATGTAACTTTCTAGTCACTCTGTATTATATAGTTTTATTTTTACTGTATACCTGATATATATGTATATAATTTACTTATTTATTCGTGTATTAACTTGTTTTATTATTTGGTTTTCTTGAATGGAACATAAGTTTCTAAAAATGGGAAGTGAGTTTGTTCAGTGTTGTTCTCCCAATGCCTAGTTTGACTTCTAGTGGGCATTCCGGAAAAAAAAAAAAATGAATGAATGAATGAAAGGAAACTAGATTGGTAGAAAGGGAGCAAGTAAGTTAATTGGTAACGAAGGAATACAAAGGTTAAAGGGAAAGAAGGGAGGTTGGCTGGGATGATAATAATTACTAGGGTAGGTTAGCTGGTAGGAAAATTTATAATTGATAGTAAGGAACTTTGGTTTGTAGAAAGGTAGATGGGTGGGTTGATGCTAGGTTGGATGGAAGGAACGTTCTACATACATTATTACTAAATTTTTAATGCAGAATTTGCCTTAAACATTGAACTCGAAAATCTGTTCTTTAATAATATATCATTGTGTTTTGTTATAGCTGATGAAGTTACTTGGATGGACTCATTGTGCATCTTTTACTGAAAACTGGCTCCCCATCATGTATCCTCCTGATTATTGTGTATTCTAAACTGAGAACCAAGACTTTAAATTTTAAAAAAGAAAATTTTATAGTGGATGGACATAAAAACAAATTTGTGGCATTTTTAGTCTAATGCATGTTTTCATCTGCTATCAAATATTGATTATTAAAATGATGTGTATTTATCAGAGACTTTGCTGGCGTGTGGCTTAATACATGTAAATCTAGACCTCTGACATCATGGTGTGTTCTTACTGCCTCACATTGCTGGCAGTGGGCTGTGCCCTGACTTCCAGCACCAAGGACTTTTATTTGGGTTGCAGCTACTACATGTGTGATAAGTTTTGAACAGTAACTTTTAACTGCAAACCTGTAAAATTCTATTTTTTATTTTATAAAAGAACAGGGTTTTAACATTTTCAACTTTTAATTTTTCTCAATTGTATGAAAGCCTTAAAAAAGCTACATTAAGCGTAGCTAAAATTATTTATTGGACTAAAAAGTAACAGAATTTCACTTTCAGATATTGTTTTGGTTTGTCTTTTTTTTTTTTTTTTTTTTTTTTTTTTTTTACCTTTTCATTCAATTAAGGGGGAAATTTAAAGGGGCACAAATTAATAATGTGGCAATTGCTGGAGCAGAACTGCTTCTATAAATCTTCATCTTGGGTAATTTCAGGCCAATCATTTTTAACATCCTCTTGATGTGCAGAGCATCTGAATGAACCAATAATACATGTATAAGTGCCAGATAGCTAAATCTTTATCAGGTATTGTAAAGACACACATATGGTATGTTTATTTAAGTTGAAATAATGTAAACCACATGAATAAATGTGCAAAACCAAGATCACAGTACACCATATACACTGATACCTTAATTTTTTAATAATAAACGTGAATATTGAAGCTTCTTAAAGTTGGTCTTAATTTTTCATAATATCTGGGATTAGAACAAAAGTAATATTAAATCCATAGACAAAATCTTGAGGTAATTTATTTTATAATGTTTCTGATAGGCTTGCAATTATTCGAATTTTTCCAATCTTATTGTGATTAGATTTTGTGTATGTTTAACTTATTTTATATTTCTGACTATTATACTTGTTTCTCTCATCCTTTCTCCATAAAATAGACACACATAGACAATATTAAAAGCCTCTCATAACTTATATCAAGTGTGTGTGTGTTTACATGAGAGTGCACTCGTGCGTGCATGCGTGTGTGTGTGTGTGTGTGTGTGTGTGTGTGTGTGTGTGTGTGTGATTTTTAAATCTTATTTCCTTAGAATTTACTACTACATATTAGAAGGTCTACCATTAATCTTGTCTAATTGTTCATAACTAGTTTTTTATAATTGATTCCTTTATTTAATTGATATATTAGAACTTGTATGAAAAAAATAGAAATATGCATGCCAACATTTTGCATACAATTTCTAAACCATCTAGATTCTGAAGTCCATCAGTGACCAACTCTCTGCCTGTTCCCTCACAAACACTTTCACCTACATACATACAGGTCTCCCCATAAACACAGGTTCATCAGTCCAATAAAAAAATTGAGAAGCACCGAAACCAGTTTGGCTCAGTGGATAGAGCGTCGGTCTGTGGACTGAAAGGTCCCAGGTTCGTATCCGGTCAAGGGCATATGCCTTGGTTGCGGGCACATTCTTAGTAGGTGTGCAAGAGGCAGCTGGTCGATGTTTCTCATCGATGTTTCTAGCTCTCTATCCTTCTCCCTTCCTCTCTATAAAAAAACAATAAAATACATTTTTTAAAAAATTTGAGAAGTTCAGAAAAGATAGGTTACTTACTAAGGTCATGCTGCTGATTATCAATTACAGAACCTGTTTCATTTGGGTTGCAGCTACTACATGCATGATAAGTTTTATTACCTAGGTTTTGCCCTATCTGGTAAGTACCACCTGCTTGCACAGAGCTGATGGGTCAGCCAGAGGTGAGAGCTTGGGTCCTTCTCAAGTCTTTCCTAAGGATGTGTACAGCTCTAGTGTGTGCGTGCCCTTCTAGATGCTCAGGAGTTGGTCAGAGCTTTCAAAGCCCCTATGAACATACTTCCTTTTAAGCTTTTTGATTAGCCCCAAATGTTATCCACAATTTCAGGCAGCTACAAAATTACACATAGCCTATATTTATCTGGACAGCCACTGGAAAAGGCCTCTGGGCCTAAGAGAGATCTGACTTCAGATAGGACTGCATTTCCAGTCATGTAAACCAAATTCTTCCCAGAATCTGACTAAACCTGTTTAATAAAGACTGCTTTGCACTTGGGGTATTCTAGAAAACAACCAGATAAGGTAAATAATGACAATTCTCTGGAAATGGAAGTTTGGAGGAGCTTCCAGCTCTATGTGGCTCCCTCCAATGTCTGCCAGGCTGCTACTACTCAGGACTAACATGGAGCTGGAGATGGAATGGGGGTAGGGCAATTTAAAACATCACAAAATACACTCATTGCTCTGAGATTCAGCCGTTTTAATTGCACAAACATGCCGCAGGTTGTTACATGCCTTTGGTTAATTTCAAGAATTCTGAAAAAGTTGCTTTTGATAATTTTTTCCTGTTTCCCCATGGCTTTAATGGAATTTTCAGAGGTGCTTCTGCTTTGATGAAATGGTCCACCATTGCAGTGACATTTTTCTTTTAAGCACAAGAATTTAGTAACCAATTTTAATGGAATTTTAAGATTAGAAACTTCCTGATTATATATTTATTTTGAAGTACTGCTTTCTGAGTTAAATCAAATACAACACTAGTATCCTTTATTTTTGCACAAAACACTATCATTTCAGGACTCCCAAATTTCTGACTTTATTCAGGTTTTGATTTTTATTTGCTTTTTTTTTTAATGTGGAAGAATTTTGGATACATACTTTAAGAAAATATGGTTCTGCAGGTGCAATTAGTGGCTGGGTCCACCTGACAGGCTGGTCAGTGCAACCTAAACATCTATGAAAGTTCCATAATTTTGTTATCTGTATGTGATACTGAGAAAATAGGAGAGAAGGAAATCAGCCACTTTTCTTCTTACCTTCTGGGCATCTGAACTACCCTCTTCTGGAAGTGAAAGATTTTCTAAAACCATGTCAAATCTTTATGAGCATGATCTCAAAAATAACTCCTAGGAAAATGAAAAGAAAGTTGGCATCCAGTCATTTTGAGAAGTCCAGGTCCTATAAGTTCAAAATGTATTATCTTCCAATCCACTCACACAGCTTTCTTAAATTAAAAAAAATTGCTGATAGTTTTATGTATGTGAAATAAATTGATGTGAAATAAATAGATGTAACATTCTGAAGTCTTCCTCATAACCACATGCAGCATTCTGCCAGAAAAAAAATTTCAGGTGCTTCTCAGTGTCTTATCAAGGTATGCGAGGTATGTGTCCTAGTGGGTATTTTACTGCATTCATATCAGTTTACTTTAGCAATAATGAGATGTTTGGTGCTATAGAATTTTACTTTAAAATTTTTTTTGTTAATCCTCTCAAGGATATTTTTCCATTGATTTTTTTAGAGAGAGGGAAAGAGAGAAATATGGATTGATTGCCTCCTGCACATGCCATGACCAGGGCCCATGCTGCGGAGAAGCCTGCAACAAGGTATGTGCACTTGCCTGAAATCAAACTGGGCACCTTTTGGTTGGCAGGCAGATGCTCTATCCACTGAGCAAAACCAGCTAAAAATTTTGAAATAATCCTCTACGAATTTCACAAAAAGAGAGACAATTTTAAGAGTAGTATAGGCGGGTTATCACTGTCCCATAATTCAAATATAGAACAAATTTTTGGGTGGCATACTATTTTCTATCACTATCAGGAATAGTATATTTTATGCTTTTTTATAAAAATGTAAGGTTGCCATATTTAGAAAAAAATCAAACCTGTATCACCTAGTTTAAATTTAGATAAATTCCAAATTATTAGTAGTAGTATACTTCATTGTTATGTAGGACATGGGATTTTTTCTTTTAACCTTAAAGCACCTACTTTTAAATTATATATATATATATATATATATATATATATATATATATTAATTTTTTATTTATTTACAGAGAGAGGAAGGGAGAGGAATAGAGTTTGAAACATCCATGAGAAATAAACAATGGCCAGATGCCTCCTGCACATCCCCTGCTGGGGTGGGCCCACAACCAAGGTGCATGCCCTTGATTGGAATTAAACCTGGGACAATTCAGTCTGCAGGCCAATGTAATATCCACTGAGCCAAACCGGTTAGACAGCATCTTTTATATTTTTTACTGGATGGGTCTGTTGGGAATGTTCCTCTTCAACAACCTACCGTTATGCTGAAAACCAAAGTTAGATTTTTGCCATGGTCTCCTGACAAATTTCCTTTTCACCCTGGCCAGTGATTCCAAGAAGTAGCTACTTGTGAACCTTCCTGTTGTCAGAAGGATGGGGCAGATCCAGACTTAGGTCCTGCTCACTCTTTCTCAAAGTTTAGTCAAAGTAGACGAGTCTGGACTATTAATGAAAATGTTAACACTACCTTGGATGTAGAGTACTTTCCCTTTGAAGATATAATTCTTAAGTCTTCCCTTATTCAAGGTGAGTTGAGAAAAGAAATATTACTCTTTAAACCAGTTAAGTGTTCAGGCCTCTTTGGTCACCTAAGTTTGAATGCAAGGAAGATATTTGGGGCTCTGACTGTCCCATAGGACAGATCAAAGGCACATTTTAAATGTCAGAGTTTACAGTCTTTCAGTCTACTGGACCATAGCCTCCAGGTAGACACATGCTTAATCTAGGTTTAACTGTTATCTTGGGGTTTATTTTTGCAAAGAATATCTTTATAGAATACATGGTAGGCATTCATTTCAGAAAAAATTTCAGCAATTCCTTTGGATTTCAGGGTAAAGTATACCCTCCTTTCTGACTCCCTACCTACACGGTGATTTAAAAAAAATTTCCTATGAAATAATGCAACTGGCAAAACAATCCTTTGCCTATAGCAGGCATTCTCTAATTCATTTACTGTACCTTAAAGGGGATTCAATGTTTTAACTCTTTACTCTAGTTCCTTAGATTTTTCAGAGCTTATGGCACTAAACCTTTATTAGTATACCACTGAATAGCTTTTATAAAAACTTTAAAGGAACTTCTGTGTAACTCTCATGCTGCGATAAAGGTTATCCCCTTGCAGGACTTTGTCATTCATATGTTAATTTCTTTGTCTACTAATAAAAGTACAATTACCTAATTTTCAGCACTAACGAAACACTTCTGTCCTTTGCACTAGAAATCTCTCATGTCAATCTCAAGCACAATTCAAAGTAAATGCTAACTCTTGGCTGGTGTGGTCAGTTGGAGTATTGTCCTGTACACCAAAAGATGGTGAATTCAATTCCAAGTCAGGGCACATACACAGGTTGTAGGTTTGATCCCTGCAGGAAGCAACTGACCAATGTTTCTCTCTCTAAAATCAATAATAATAAAAAATTAGGTTATTAAAAAAATAAAGTAAATGTTAAGCTGAATTTATTTTTAAAAATCATAGACTAAATAAAAAATAATGAACACCAGAGAAATCACATTACACTCAGAAAAAAAATTGAAGTTTTAAAAACTCTATATTGATTTTCACATTCTTCAAGCTATCTAGGCACTGTGAACTAGGTTTTTATTCTTTATGTACCAGGGGGAAAGTCCCAAATAGCAATATAAAATCAGGATTGCTCATAATGGTTAGAAATTCTGTGAATATCATATAGTTCACTACAACAAATCTTTATTGAATAATGAAAGCATTAGTCATTCAATAAGTAATTAAAAAGTGCTTATAGATACAAAAATGAGTAAAAACTATTCCCTAACATGAAGGAGCATGTATTTTAAGTGGTATGGATTAGATATGTTAATAACCTACTGAAAAGACAAAATGTGATTAACATTGAAGATATTATGTGGGTTCCAAGGCAAGAGATCTGTGTAGTACATGTTACCTGGACTACTGTGTACAGCAAGCATGACCAACTCGCAGCCAACAGGCCACATGTCTCATTTATTTATAAAAGAGATGTATAGGTTTAGAGAATGGGGGAAATAAGGCCAAAATGTTGATAGGGCCTATTTTGCAGAGCCTTAAATTAAGGAATTTCACTTTAATAATCACCTTTGAATATCTCCCAAGTTTTTGAGTTGGAGGTATCAAGTGATTTACTGAAGTAAGGAGACAATGAAATAGAAAAATTAATTAGGCTTCTGTAATTATTCAGATGAGATTATTGATGAATTAGTCACTCAATTTACTATAGTAAAATGGGTGTTGCTTTCCTTTTTTAAAGATGACACTCCTCTGCAAAATTACCTTCTCAATTGCACAGAAATAAGACAAAAGTTCCACAGTAACAAAATTCAAATGTTTAATTTTTTCAAACTTAACTATATTAATAAAAATAAATTATATTTAGACCGTCTTCAACATTTGTGCATCATCTTTATAGAACTATGCTTTCAAAACACATTTTGTAAAATACATCAATTTCACAATTAAAACATGTTTTATAAATGGGGGAACATTAAAGAACATTAAGTTAGTTGAAAATATACCTCATAATGCTGAGAGTTATGCTGTTCCTTATCAAATTAACTGTATTTGTATTCAAAATAACATGACTTTTAACTAAAGACAATTATTTCTTATCCCTTTCAGTGATTTCCTGAATCCAAAACAAAATTTGTGTATTTATTTCTTTGAAAACATCATTCGTTGACCGTCCTTTCACTGCCATGGAATGATTTGCCTTCTCAATCCAGTGGATTTTATTAGGAGCTTGCATTTTCTGTGCGACTTTCTCCAACAAGTTCTAAAGGAAAAAAGAAGAGGATAGTAGACTAATGATCTATTTGTGTCTAATAAAAATCCTCCCTCCTGCCCCACCTGTACTAGCATCCATTCATTAAATATTCATTAAATACTTACTCTACAAACAATGGAATGTGCAAGGAAAGTCAATGGAATGTGCAAGGAAATGTCTACTGAGGTGGCCGGCAGTCCCCTATCTCTCAGAAACAGCAATACTACAGAACAGATCAAGCACTTAATATTGATGATAAAAATTAAATTATAGAGCCAAAAAATCTTTTAAAAATGTTTTCCCCGAAGGAAATTATATGCTCTAGGAAATACACTAATATTTAGAAGTTACTATTTTTTTCTCAAGAGTCAATTTTATAAAAAATTGGAGAATCTGCTTGAAAGTTGAAATGATAAACCAAGTGTAGTCTAGTAATCCCCAATTCATAAGATTCAGATTAATCATTTCCCAAGTAAAAGTTAATCCATTTACCAATTCAACTTATAGGGAGATTAATTTTGTCATTATACTTATTTTAGGTTCTCCAAAGCAACAGAACTTAAGGCACAGAACTCGAATTAGTCAAATCAGCATCTCTTTACCAGTAAAAAGATTTGACTGCTGCAGGTAATATATTGTTCCCAAAATATCTGTCTGTCTTCCTCTCATGCACACAAATATCAAGTTGTAATTCACCTTTTCACACATTTCATCTGCTGAGCCTGACACAAATAGTACAGGATCTTTTATACGAAAGAGATCTTCATCTCTAAGTTTATGCTGCTGTTTCGGATGATGCAGTGGATAAGAAATACAAACGAGACCTCGGACAAAATCATTAGCATCAGCTGGCTCAATATGACACATTACAGAAGCAGCTGCTCTTGAGCCCATTGAACGACCTAAAAACAATTAAAATTAAGTTCAATTTTAAATATAAACATTCACATTAAGTAGTGAGGATAATGTGGCAAATCAGACTTAATTTAGTTTATCCATTATATTTTTATATCAACAAATTAATTCTAAAAGGTGGCAATTAACAAGGCATAATGGAAATTCATAAGCTGTGAAGAGGTAAAAACTAATCCTAAAAAAAAAAGGAATTATTTTTCTGAAGGATTGTGAAAATCTTCATGAAGGAATCATATGAGAGAAGGTGAACCAGATATATAAATAAAAGGATAAGTCTTTGGGCTATAATACATATAATCAAATAATAGAGGAATATGCAAATGTGTCCGTTACAGGGTCATGTCACCACTGGATCAGGAGGCTGTGTCCCCGCCCTCTGCTCAGGCAGCTGCAAGGCCCGAAGTAGGGTAGGATAGGATAGAGGGAATAAGAAAGGAGAGGGAGAGGAAGGCAGGCCTGTATGCAGACAGGCCAAGAGGAGAAACAAATACAGAAAGGGAACAAGGAAAGTCTGGAATGGAAAAGGAAAGAAAACTGGACACAGAAGGAGGTGGCAACTGCGGGGGATGTGGGGGAGGGGGGCAGGGGGGCAGGTGTGCCCAGTGAGGGGCACTCACCCAGACATGGGAGGGTGGTGGGGCGGCCGTTGGTAGGGAGGCGCCCATGGGTCCCGGAGGAAGTGGAGGAGGGCCGAGGCCTTCTGGGCAGAGGTGCTCCTGTTTCGCGGCAGCAGCGCCCGGGCTGTGCGAGCCTCAGCCACCTCGCTGGGCCGGGCATCAGGGCAGGGATGGGAGCAGGACAGTAGTGGGGAGGCCGAGGAAGGGGGGTGGCGAATACCTGGCCGGGGCTGAGCCTGGGCTGGGGGTTAATGAACCCCCCAACAGAAGCTTTAAGAAGGGAAGGAGGGAGGGAAGAACTTTATAAAGGAGTCAGTAGAGAGCAGAGTTAAAGAAGGAAAGAGGATGTATGAGTGAACTGTAGGAGCTATAATGAAAATCAAGTATAGCTGTGTACTGGGGACAGATTTTAAAAGTAGGAGTCAGAAAAAAGATAAATGATAGTGAATACTTAGGCAGGTAGCTAGATATTAAAACAGTGAAAGTAAGTAGAGAAGAATGTGGATGAGAGAAAGAGGGAGGAAAGAACAGTTTTAAAGTAGAGCTGATAGAGCTTAAAAGGAGAATGGGAAGAAGGAAGAAATGGGGGAGGGAGCAAAGCAGGTTGAGGGAGGAAGTAAAGAAAAAATTAAGGTGGGAAGGAAGGAAAAGGGAGGGAGAGAAGGGCTAAAGATAAGGAAAGAAGGAATGTGGAGACGGAGAGAGGGTAGGAAAAAGATGGGAAGAAGGATGATGGAAAAGAATAGGAAATGAGGAGGAAAGAAAGTTTATAAATGATGAGTCAGTAGGAAAAAGTGTTACATAGAGAGAAAATTGTGTGAGAGGGAGAAGCCAATAAGTCAAATACAATTGTGTGTAAAGGGGATAAGATTTAAAAAAAAAAAAAAAAAGATAATATGGGCAACCAGGCCAGCAGGAGAGGGCAGTTAGGGGTGACCATGTCGGCAGGGGAGGGCAGTTAGGGGGATCAGGCAGGCAGAGTGGTTAGGGCAGGTAGGCAAGTGAGCGATTAGGAGCCAGAGGTTCCAAATTGTAAAAGGGATGTCCATCTGTGGGATCAGGCCTAAACTGGCAGTTGGACATTCCCCGAGGCTCCCAGATTGGAGAGGGTGCAGGGGACTCCATCCTCCCCCCGCAACCCATGCACAAATTTCGTACACCATGCCTCAAGTAAATATATAAAGTACTTTGATGTCATATAAGGAAGTGACTTTCCAAAACAAAACAAAAATATCCTTAAATTAGTTTCCTGTCATCTATTTTAATTCTCAATGACATAGTCCTATATTTAAAAACAAGTAGTGTAACTTACCTCCAAGGAAAACACCTGTAAGTTTGTATTCTGAGGTCTTGAGGTAACTCTAAAAAAAAAAATAATAATGATAATAATCAACAAAAAATTACAAATTCTTCTATAAAACATTCTATTGGAAAAATCAACATATATTTATCATCAATACTGAAATGTATGAAAATCTTTGTAAAGATAACCATACATTCTTAAGAGATTCTTCCTGAAAGAGGTAACTAATTCTTTGCTCTTCTAGTGAGGCCTTCACTGTCAAATCATGTTGAGTAATACAGGCAAATATGTAAAGCAAAAACAAAAACAAAAACACCCCAATTCACCCATCTAAAGAAGTCAAATATTAAAATACCTTTACAGAACAACATATATATATATATATATATATATATATATATATATATATATATGTTGTTCTATATAGACAGATATGCCAAAAAAGCTTCCAACTAATACAAAATTTGATAATAATACTGACATCTAATTTAAAGCTCTGAAAAACGTAGAAAGTTTAAAGTAATTTGGATTAAAAGAAATTTCAGCCCTACCAAGTAGCAAACTTGGTTAGAGCGTCATCCCCTTATGCCAAGTCCGTGGGTTTGATCCCTGGTAGGACACATATGAGAATCAACCAATGAATATATAAATATGTGGAACAATAAATCCATGTCTGTCAAAATCAATTAAAAAATTCAGATTTACTTTATCCAGAAATTTTATAGTTTCCAAATAACATATACAGAAAACCATGCTAAATTTGTATATTCACATTATAAGAGGCAAAATATCCAGAACTGTATTCTAAAGTTATATAATTCCAATAAGAAAATTACATCATAAGTAGCTTCATTGGCAGTATCATGGAATGGTCTGAGCACTTATCTCCATGGAAATTTCAGACACTGCTGAGTTTCTAAGAAAATTCATTTAAAGATAAATTAAACAAAATAACTGCTAACAAAATTTGTCTTAACTTTACTAAGAATTTTATTGTAAATACAAAGAAAATTTCTTACCAAAACTGATTTATATGCCTTAATTCTATGTACAATGTTAAGGCCTTTACAGGTAAACCTTAGGCAAAAAAAACCATGAGATGCAAGATGGGATGCCAGTGACATCAAATGAGGAAGATTCATATCTCCTGAAGCTCCGTGGGTAAGAATTATTCCATATGTAAAGCTCTTGTTAGGTACCAAACAAACAGCATCTAGTAACTTATTCCCAAAAGGTATTTTTAATTTAACCTGGAATTCAAAAGAATAAAAAGGGTAAGAAATTATTTCCTTGCCTATTCAGACAACTGAATAACTAAATGTTCTTCAAGATCCATGATTCAAGTAACAGTCTCTGATTTAGAAGCAATGATATTAATAATAGCTAATAGTTAAATACTTATTGTGTGTCAGGTACTATTCTAATTTTTTATAGTTATTAACACATTTAACCTTCCTAATATTACTATGAGCAAATACTTTTATTATCTCAATTTTACAGATGAGGAAACGGAGGCACAGCAGGTTAAGTAGTATGCCCAAGATTATAGAAACACTAGTTGGATTCAAACTTAGTCTGCTCTAAAGTCCTTACTCTTAACCACTAATGCTATACTGTTTCTCACAATGTAAGCTGAAAATAAGAAAATTACTCTGGAACCATATGATTTCCAGACAACAACAAAGAATCCTGAAGATGCAGAACGTAAGAAAACATGTATTACCTCTGTATGACTCATTTTCACTGTTGAATAACAAATTTAAAGTGCATTACATCTGAGGAGCAAAGGACATCTCCCTGAAAAGAAGATTCTATTGTGAAAGGTGGGTTGGCAAACATGGAAATAATACAAAGAACTGTGAATGAACACATTCAGTAGCTGAAATACACATTTAGAACTACTTCTCAAAGAACTGGTACCTTTACATATATATTATTTTCAATAATTAAGTTCCTATGGGCACTCAGAATAGGTTATAGGGCCAGGTGTGGGGCTGATAGATGTTCTATAATATAAAGCCAACGTGTTACCTTAACATGGAAGCCCTGAGAAAATTCTTACCAAATAGGATGCTGGCATATATATACATACACACAGGCGCATATATATATATATATATATATATATATATACACACACACACACACACACACACACACACACACACACACACACATATGTGCCCAGTGCACGAAATTTGTTCAAGGGGCTCGGCCCTCACAGCCCTCAGTGGTTTGCCTCAGCTTTGTCCAGAAGGTCATTTGACTATCTCTGGTCTAATTAGCATATTATGCTTTTACTACACACACACACACACACACACACACACACACACAATATTCTAAACATTTATTCTCAACTATCTTTAACTTGTTGTTCTCAACTCTCCCTCTCATGCAAAAGTATATACCCACACCATCTGTTATGTGACTGCACAACTTCCCAATAGGAAGAGTGTATTATCAATCTTACTGACGTGGCATTTGGCTATGGAACTTGCTTTAACAGAATATATGTAAAGGTTTCAATGTGCCATTTTTGAGCAGAAGGGCAAATTTCCACAAACTCTCTTAAATCTCAGCCTCAGCCATAAGAAAAGCATGTTCCAGGTATTTGTTTTTTAAGCCTGGGCCACAGAATGAAAACACATGGAGCAGATCTGAACCCAAAACGAAAGCCTGGAGTGCAGCCTAATCCAGATCTAAACCACTGAATAACCATGAAATACTGACTTTAAGAACCAAAACCATGGAATGCTGGAAGCCGCAGAGATTTTGATTATTACCCAGATTCCTTACTACTATAAAAAAATCTTTCATTGGTCAGGGTATTATCAACATCAGGAACTTCATTATTCATCTATTTTTCCTATTAACATTTTTCAATTTACTGAATAGATATGTTCAAAAGATACCAAAAAATATACAGTGAAGTTTCACTCATTCTACTGTTGTCTTGCCACCAAGACCTCCTCCCCAAAGGCACCAATATTATCTATTTCTTAAATATCTTTCTAGATACTTTATATGTATACATCCCCTTTTCTTTTTATAAACTGGTGATATCTTCCTTTGACCCCCACCACACACTCTTTATAACTTGATTATTTTCTTTATATAATAAGCACTTTTCGTTGTATGTTATGGCTGTAGAATATTCCAACATAATTTCAGTGAAGTTTCAGACTACTACTACTCTTTTGCTAAAATAGTATTGCAATGAGTAGCATTATACTTTTATTTTCATGTGTGTAAATATATCTATAAATTATGAGAGAGGAACTTGTGTGTCAAAGGGTATATTCACCTGTGACTAATTTTGTAAAGAATGCATTTCACTTTTAAATGGGTAATATATGCACATGTTCAAAATTTTAAAAGAACAATTATGTATATAGTTGTCTCCTCACATTCTTTCCCACCAGCTACCACATTCTTTTGTCCCATAAACAACCACTGTATTCAACTTATTTTCTCTTATGTGTAGGTGTGTGTAGAAAAATTTTATTTGAGCCTAAAGGGTATTAGTCTGACTGCAAAAGTTCTGGGATTTGAGTGGAAGAAAGGTGAAGCAGTATCCATTTTCATAAATGTAACCCCATAATTAACTGTTTTATTCTCAAGATAATGGGAGAACGGTGTGAATGGGAAAGGGAATCTAGATCTAATTCGTTTTCAAATAGATGTTACCTAAGCCCTCTACAGCCATCCTCAGCAGTTACGTGCATTGCCAATGCTGCCAGTTTCTGAGCACTTTTAAGACGTTTGTGGTTTGTATAGAACGAGAGGCCCAATGCACGAAATCCGTGCAAGGGGTCAGCCCTCGCAGCCCAGGCTTCATTTGGAAGGTCCTCTGGCTTCTGTTCTAATTAGCATGTCAGGCTTTATTATTATAGAAGGTTGTTCCACGGTATTCCCTGCTGCTGGTTTAGAACTGAGCTAAGCTGTGCTAAGACATTTACTTTCTAGTGCCCCATATTTTATTGCTTTGTTTCCCTTCCCATTCTCGCCATCCTTGTGGATTTGTCTTTTTTTTAAAAAAAAAAAAATTCCTTTACTGTATGTAACTCTGAGATTTCAGAAGGAGTAAAATCAGGTATGTGTATTCAACCCACTCTGTGAACCCAGAATGCTCTACCATTCCTCAACAACTTGGGATTTTGCTTGCCAGCAGATGGACAGTCTGTTCTTCAGAACTGGTGCACACGTCCTGGAGCTCTTGGGGAACACTGAACTGTCCCAGGACACGGTCTCACATAACCTGGGCTAGATGGGCTCGGGGGTTCCCTCTGGCTTTGGGGGTCCCCATAGGGCAGGGCTGAAAAAGTCGCTGTTTCACTATCTCCAACTGCACACCACCCCCCTCACGGCGATGCTGTGATGGTGAGCTGACAGTCTCTGCACTGTATTTAGTAGCCCCATATCGGCAGCATCCAAGAGGGATTTTTTTTTTTTTTGCCGGGACCGGTTTGGCTCAGTGGATAGAGCGTCGGCCTGCGGACTGAAAGGTCCTGGGTTCGATTCCCGTCAAGGGCATGTACCTTGGTTGCGGGCACATCCCCAATAGGGGGTGTGCAAGAGGCAGCTGGTCGATGTTTCTCTTTCATCGACGTTTCTAACTCTCTGTCCCTCTCAATTCCTCTCTGTGTAAAATTAATAAAATATATATATTTTTTTAAAAAGTGATTTTTTTTTTATTACTACTAATATGCAAACAGTGATCGCATCCTCTGCCAAAGGATCAAAAATGCCACAACCACAGAAACTCCCAGTGGGAAAATGTGCACCGTGGCCGGCGGGTGCGGCTCAGTGGGTGCATCCCCGGGTGGGGCCCAGGCCAGGGCTGCAGGCCGTGCCCTCGGGGGGCGTGCAGGAGGCAGCCCGGCTGATGCTCCCTCGTCCATATCTCTCTCTCTCTCTCTCTCTCTCTCTCTATCTTCCCCCCCCCCTCTAAAAATCAACAAAACACACACACACACAAAAAAAATAAATAAATAAAAACATGTGTGCTGTTAGGTCGACAGCTGTGAACTGAAGTCACGGGCTAAGGACCACGTCAGGAGTCCGTCGTCTTCGGGGCGGAGTGGGGGGCGGGGCCGGGGGTCGCGAATCGGCCGGGTCCGCAGCGAACCCCCAGACGTAACAGGGGGGCCCTCGGAGCGGGGTCCGGGGAGGTCAGGGGTCAAAGGCGCCCGGGAAACGGCTGCTTCTCTCCGCGGCCGCGCGGGCGCCGGGCTGTGCGGCGGCGGCGGCCGCTCCGAGGACCCGGGCGCCCCCTCCGAGCCCGGAGGCGGGTGGGCAGCTTCCAGTCCTCCGCCGGGGGCCGCGCTGGGAGGCGCCGCCCGGCTGTGCCCGCCCGCACCGTCCCCAACGCTCCGGCCTCCGAACCGGCCGGGCGGATGGAGAAGCCCGGGCGGCCGGAGCCCGCGGCGGGCACCGCACTTAAACCGACCGCCTCACACGGAGCCGACACACAGCCCCCGAAAGGCGACAGCCGCCGAGTCCGAAGCGCTTCAGGCGAGGCGCCAAGCACGTTGGCTCTCCTTGGAGAGGCCGTCCCCCGCCGCCTCCGAGCGCCCGCCGCCGCCGCCGCCGCCGCACTTACCGGGGCCGGGGAAGTGGCCGGGAGCACCGAACCGCCCTCACCCGCCTCAGAGCGCAAACTCTCACGCTCCCGGCGACCCGCGGGCTGCAACCGCCTGAGCGTGCCGTGCCGGCGCATGCGCGCGCAGTCCCCGCCCCCCGGGCGCGCGGGAGGGCGCGCGGGGCACGCCGGGAGCGGGAGTTTTTCCCGCCGCCGCCGCCGCCGCCGCCGCCGCCGCCGCCGCCGCCCGCTGGGGCCGGGCCACGTGTGCACGCGGGCACATGGGTGGCTGACGCTTCGCCTCCGGCCGCTGCCCACCGCCGCCACCCCGGCCGCCCCGCGGGAAGTTACGCAGGTCGGGACCACGCGGTGGCACCTCTGGTTTTTCCCACAGTTAGTGGGTCCAATTGGCTGTATTTGCAAATACATACAGAATGCAGCCACTTCTCCTGCTCAGACCGGTGCGAGCTCCAGTCATCCTTGTAGCCCGGATTATTGAAACAGCCAGGTGATCTCTGGTTCCCACGCGGCCCCCCGAGCCTGGTCACTAGGTTATCAGTTCAGAGGCCAACTAGAGCCATTTGGAATGGAAACGCCTTGGCTGGAAACCTTCCAAAGGCTTCTCAACTGGCCCATTATTCAAAAAAGATGTGCCCTTGCCCAGACCGGTTTGGCTCAGTGGATAGAGTGTTGGCCTGCGGACTGGAAGGTCCTGGGTTCGATTCCGGTCAAAGGCAGCTGATCAATGATTCTCATCTATGTTTGTGACTCTCTGTCCCTCTCTCTTCCTCTCTGTAAAGAGTCAATAAAAGAAAAAAAATATATATATATTTTAAAAAAATATCATTAAAAAAAATGTGCCCCTCTACAGGGCTTTTCACTGGCTGGTTCCTCCTCTCAGGGTATTCCGGCAGTCCTTTGGTATCATTCCCCCCCTAGGGCCTTGCCTAATCGGCCCAGTTTCTATCCTTTTACCCTGGTCACCTAATATACTATGAAGCATCTGTCTTCTTACTGGACTGCAAACTCTCCATAAAGCCGGGGAGTTTTGTGCTTGTTTTATCTTGAACCTCCTGTATGTAGACTAATGCCTGGCAAATCAGTGCTTCTTGAATGAATGAATCTCCCCCAAGCCCAGTGTGGTGGTAACTGTC